TGATAAGACTTTGTGGTATAGATGACCTTGTGATAAGACTTTGTGGTAGAGATGACCTTGTGATAAGACTTTGTGGTATACATTACCTTGTGATAAGACTTTGTGGTAGAGATGACCTTGTGATAAGACATTGTGGTATAGATGACCTTGTGATAAGATTTTGTGGTATACATTACCTTGTGATAGACTTTGTGGTATAGATGACCTTGTAATAAGACTTTGTGGTATATATTACCTCGTGATAAGACTTTGTGGTATAGATGACCTTGTGATAAGACTTTGTGGTATACATTACCTTGTGATAAGACTTTGTGGTATATATTACCTTGTGATAAGACTTTGTGGTATATATTACCTTGTGATAAGACTTTCTTGTGATAAGACTTTGTGGTATACATTACCTTGTGATAAGACTTTGTGGTAAACATTACCTTGCGATAAAACTTTGTGGTATATATTACCTTGTGATAAGCCTTTTATGGTATAGATGACATTGTGATAAGACTTTGTGGTATACATTACCTTGTGATAAGCCTTTTATGGTATAGATGACATTGTGATAAGACTTTGTGGTATATATTACCTTGTGATAAGACTTTGTGGTATACATTACCTTGTGATAAGACTTTGTGGTATACATTACCTTGTGATAAGACTTTGTGGTATACATTACCTTGTGATAAGACTTTGTGGTATACATTACCTTGTGATAAGACTTTGTGGTATACATTACCTTGTGATAAGACTTTGTGGTATACATTACCTTGTGATAAGACTTTGTGGTATATATTACCTTGTGATAAGACTTTGTGGTATACATTACCTTGTGATAAGACTTTGTGGTATACATTACCTTTCGATATGTCTAATTTCTTAAGTTTCTTAGTTTTGTTTTTATTTGATTAATGTTGTGATAATTCCTCAAAGAAGAAAAAGAATACAAGACAATGCAGTTTTTTGACCAGGCATATTTTATTTTTCCTTGTGTTCATTTATCAATAGCATAATTTCCCAGGATGCAAACGATTCCATCAAGAAGAATATATTAAGATCAATAAGGTCAAATAAAAATAAATCATCAATAACAGATATAGCACTAGATGAGAGTGATGATAAATAGCACGAGAGACAAATGAAGGGAGATAACTCTCTTTAAAAGACAGAAAAACACTACACCTTCACTTTGTACACACAGGAGAAGTGGTGTTAGAGAACAATTAGAAAATTATCTGTAAAGATAGAGAAATGCTTAAACAAAGTAGAGAGTCATATAACTTTTCTTATCTTCATCTTATTATCAAAACATCTGTCATTTTGTCCCTTCAGAAAGACTTGAATCAATTTGAAACATAAAAGATGATGACTGTGCATTAAACAAAACTATTAAGTTCAAAGATTAAAGAATCACTGTAATCGACTGTTATTATGACAAAAAGGATAATTTATCGTATGAAATTCTTTCCAATATAACTGTTAATAAAATGAAGTAGATAAGTAACTTTCATGCTGGAAAACATGTCAGGACTCTCTGGATTAATATCATCTGACTGGAATCTAATGTACAAATATTATAATGATATTCACGTTTTCCTTCATTTTTAATGTGTATTTTTGTACTCTTAAAAATATACATATACGCCATACATTTCAAAAGTAACAGAAACACTTATAAAACAAGACAACATGAATAATATGTCTTACTTCATTGACAGACACAAACATATAATAAATAGTTACAATACATACATTGTTACCTGAAGTTGTTAACATGTATATATATATCCAACAATAAACTTCGTATATCTCGAGAAAACAAATCCTGACATCTTTATAAAGATATTTATGATAGTACACAGAAGATGTCTTTGTATTTTATATATCAGATTCTTGAAGTATACTTAGCTATAACAAAATCTCCCAGACTTTATAACATCAGACAATTATTGATACCTATTAAATATATATAGTGATTTTTGTTTCAGTAGAAAGCTGTCTAGTGTCTAAGTTAATGTAATGTAGGGTTCTAGGATAGATATCACAGAGATAAACAAGGGACAAGTCATTTACAATAATGTAAGTACCTGTGGGGGATCATCAAATTTAATACAAAAAGACAGCAACATCAATTTATCTCAGTCAAGAGCTGAAATAACTTGAAACATAATTCTTCTGAAGGCAAAGCTCAAACATGGAGATGTAACAGAATTAAAACTCAATGCTTAGATCCTAAATGCACAAGCGTAATAGATTTGTTTCTGGTCAACGAATATGTCATAGTATTAAAACTATCTGGTATGATTTTTTTTTTTATTTATTTAAATTTCTTTATTCTTCATTTCCTCTGATAACCACCTCTTCTGTGTTATGAATAGAAAACAACTGGAAATGACATCATTTTATATTTAGAAATGCTTTCACTACATGTAATTTTCCAGATAAAGAGGAGAAAATTCTGCAGTGGGAAGTTTGTATAATTTCTTTGTCTAATGTATAAGTAGATCTATGACATTCAGACACTAGTCAACACCAGTTTTAGAACAGGCATATCTAGCATATAAAAACCTAATGAAAAAGTGGTAAGTACTGGACTAAGAGCAGTAAGTAACATGCATCAGGAGATCAATACTGAACCAAAGACGAGTATGTCTAAGACCATCAATCGTATCCCACAATTCATCATGGTAAATAAAGGAACCAGGCTTACCATGGGTTTTCAGCAATAGTCCAACACACGAGAAGTGTATTTAATACACAAATTTTACATTTGGTGTTATAAAACACTTTTTATATAATAAGTAATTAATGTTTTACATTTTCTAGATTTTGAGTCTCACCTTGCCAATATTTATGTGAAAACTAAAATCATACATGGTATAAACATGTTGTGTAAGTTTTATAACAAAATATCAATATAACGTTGATGTTTTTTAATGCTTGACAATTTTTAATGTGATGTGAGCAAATTCTGTCAGGGAAATAAAAAAAAATTAAGAGATGTTGGTGAATATGATAAGGTGAAATGAATAAAATGGAATAACAAATATTTCATTAGATATAATTGTGACAAATTTTTGCCAATTAAACGTCGACAAATTCCACAGATATCCCAGATGCCATAGTTGTTGAAATATTTAATGCATTACTCCACTGTAATCTCAGTGATATGAAATGAAGAAGCTTGCAATCAATGCCATCTGATTCAGGAGACCAATCACGAGGTAAAATGTTCAGTTTGTGTACTTCATTTTTCAAGAGGTTATCAGTGTTATTTACACAAAAATATTTACATCCCTCAATAAATAAAATTGTAAATAATTGAAAATTGTATGTATACATAAGCTGACTGAGGAATAACACGTTTATAGGAGTACCATGTACAGAAAGTTTGAGAAATGATTCACAGTAAATAAGTTACATAAAAATCTTTGAAAATTTATGATAAATGTAAATGATAATTTTCTTGGAGACTCATTGTAAACTTTATTGATTAGACTCCTGAACTCTCACATGTATTCATCTCCTAAACATCAGCAACATTTCATCTTATCGCCATGCTACTGAACTATACAGAATTTCAAAAGCTGATAACTGGTAACACCACTAGCCACTGCAAACCATCATGATTTATATTTCAAAAGATAGCTTCCAAAAATAACTGAGATAGGTTTAGGTTAAAGTTGCACCAAAAGAGATGAAGGAGGTGACTTTCAAACACAAAGTGAATGGAAGCACATTGATTAACAAAAAAACAGTAAAAAATCATCCTGAAAAACTGCAAATATTTCAGGTATGATAACGAGTACAACCAACTGTAGCTTATGTAATACCCCTAATACAGGTATACTGGTACAACTATAGCTTATGTAATACCCCTAATACAGGTATACTGGTACAACTATAGCTTATGTAATACCCCTAATACAGGTATAATGGTACAACTATAGCTTATGTAATACCCCTAATACAGGTATACTGGTACAACTATAGCTTATGTAATACCCCTAATACAGGTATACTGGTAATTTTGCTATTATCAAATACACAAATGCCTGATACAAGAAGATTCTGAATAGTTTTTTTTTTAAATTACATCACACAGAACTCAACACAAGAGGCATCGGTATAAAGTAACAAATACATTTTTACATATATTTACTTATAGATAATACCACAAGTAATTCATTTTAGGGTGTAAGAAATATCTAACCTTTTCCCTCTTTGTGTATAAAACAAGTTTCCTATTTAATATTTTTCAAATTGCACAAAAATATTTCTTTGATTAGTTTATTGTTGTTTCACACATTTAAAAAGCCAGGATCATTGAAGGTCATTGACGGATGTGACATGTTTGGTTGGAGGAAAGCCAGAGTTCCCAGAAACCTGTGGCGAGTACCTGGTAACTGTCCCATGTAGGTCTCAAACCTATGACCCCGAGGTGGAGGGCTAGTGATAATGCAGTCGAACGCCTTAACCACTTGGCCACCGCAGCAAAAACTATTCCATGATACATAAATATGTAGACCATTAGGGTGCACCACACCAAAACATCTGTTTGATATCAATGCCTTATAGATTTATGTCCATTTTTTATCATTTTATTGTTAAGAGGATTTTTTTCTAAGAGATGGTCAAGTCTACATACATGTATATGTTACGAGTCCTGTGTACTAAAGTTCACAGAACCTTATTTTAAACAAACGTGCTATGGTCAAACGATTTCTTAACAGGACCTTGGAAACTTTCAGAGTTATGCTTGATAAACGACACTGTGAAGTGGTGCCAACAACATAGAGACCTCGTATATACTAACCACCAGTTAACGTATCTACATTTTTGTTATTAAACAACTAGCATCCAAACTAACACCTAGGACATGAAAACTAATGGTTCAATTATGAGGAAGAAAAAAAAAGTACTGGACATCTTTTTCTTTTTAAAAAAGAGAATAAATAAAATCAAGGAAATCATTGAAATTGGTTTGAGTGAAAAGGACATTTAAAGACTTTCTTGTTAAAAAGAAAACAAAATCACTAAATTTCATTATCACAAATGTCAAATAAACCTCAATGATTGTCATATACTCTCTGATTTTGTATTTTTGTGTGACTTTATGCACAAAGAGCAAGATTCTAACTCACAGTTTGTTAAAAAAAAATTTTTAAAATGACGTAATAAGTTTTTTCATTGCAAGATAAAAATAATTTTTTCCCCACATAGAAAACTGAAGCATGCCCTGCTGTACTTGTGTGTATTAGTGGGCAACATTTGTTTGTATTTCTTGAAGGATGTGCAAGCTGTAGACTTGAAGGTAGAGGAAGTTACATACATGTCAAATTTGGCATTATGCTTAATTTCAGTATTAGGTTTCAGGTGTAAAGTGTACAAAAATTCCATCAACTATGTAATATCTCATCATATCAATGAACAAATGGGTTTTGGAAATTGATGTAGACTGTATATCAAAGTTTTCTGAGATTAAATCCATCAATATATAAATTATGTTTTCTTTTATGTTTTCAACATATTTTTTGAAATTTCAATTTCAAAATGAAACCATTTAATCTCATTACAGAAATATTCATATAAATAGCAAAATCCAGGGAAAAATCATCATTTGTAGACATTTTTATACCTTACTGTACAGAAATCAGCTTCATAGTATTTATCACTAGGCACCATAATCAACATCTAAAATTATATGTTGTACATCACAGACAAAAGCAAATGCCTTGATATATAAATCCTGTTCAGTGTTTCATTTCCTTATGCCCAGGAAATAACAGGCTGTACCACAAGTCCTTAGGTACTGCCTGTTCTTTGTATATACTGTGACAGAAAATTTTTTGCTTTCTGTCTTTTCTTGTGGGCACAAGGTCTACTTCTGACCTCACCACTGTCAGTTCTGCTTGAGATAAGTTGTCTTCAGTCTTTATCTTCATATTTACTGTCGATATCTAGACAGAACTCACCACTCCCTCATGTCTTTGTGGTTGATGGACTGACTGTATATGACTGTGTGACAAACAATGTCCACAAGCAGTGTCAGACTTGTCTTCATTTTAATCAGCAGGGTCTAAAAGAAACAATGACAAAAACTCTTTTGTGTTTGTTTAAAGTGATTCTTCTAACATTTTGTAAATGAAAACTTTTGGTCCCTTGGCCTTGTTTTTCAATCCTCTAATGGAGGAAAAAATTAAAAATTCAGCCATGCTTCAGAACCTTCCTTTGAGCATCTTTAATCAACTTACAAGTTATAAAATTGTGGTGATTGTTGCACTAAATGTATATGAATAATTTGCGTTGAACTTTGACTCATCATCTCACACTTTTTTTGACACTGAGTAGTTAAAAACAGCACAAGTATTAAAAAAAACACTCAAAGCTTTGACATTTGCTGAATCTGAACAAGGTCTTTTGTTTCTCATGTCAATCTTGACACCCAAAGCAACATCTTAATATTTTGTATAGTTTGTGTGTATTATAAACAAAGCTTGCTATACTCACCTCAGCCGCTGGCTTCCTGTTTTTTACAGTCTTCCTCATCCTGTTGTTTCTTTTGTTTCTCTTGTTTTTCCTTTGCTTTTTCTTCCTCTTCAATAATGGACTCCTTCTTGAGCAGGTCAATGACATCGGTTACCTGGGTGGGGCTCAGTTTAACATTCTCCCTGGCCAGCAGTTCTATCACCTGTAGTTTTTCATAAGTTATATTATGAAATATTATGTTGTCTTAAAAGTTTAATTCAAAACTGGATATAATAAAACATTGTTCACATCTTTTGTGTAGAAAAGAAAGAAGATGATGAGTCTTAAAATATGAATAAAAAATCAGACGCTAAAATTCTGCTCTTCAAATGGCTATTGTGGAAAATATCTCATCATTATAAAGCATGTAATTCCAGTTAAATGTTCTTAGCTGCAATTGTTTTAGTTTTCGTACAATATTTTTGTTTCATCTGAAGAACAGTATACAGATTCCAATGGTGCATCTTCAACCCAATAGTCTTTCATTGTTTTATTTAATTATAAGCTAAAAGCTAATTCTAATCCTTCAACATGTGATGAAACGATTTCTATTTCTGCATTATATAAGGACTTGATCTATAGGTCTGACAGAAGTTGCCACGGCTTATAGTCAGAATACTTAAAAAAAATTTTCAGCAAAGTCTCTGCCATTTTCTGTAATAAAACATTCTTCACAGAAAACAACGATGGCTGCAAAGTTTACATTAAAAGAATGGATTACTTAAGCATACTGCCAGAGATCTTGATATGTGTATAATGAACTGGAATTGCATGACAACACTGAGAACCTGCAGGACAACAATGAGAACCTGCAGGACAACACTGAGAACCTGCAGGACAACACTGAGAACCTGCAGGACAACACTGAGAACCTGCAGGACAACACTAGGAACCTGCAGGACAACACTGAGAACCTACAGGACAACACTGAGAACCTGCGGGACAAAACTGAGAACCTACGGGACAACACTGAGAACCTGCAGGACAACACTGAGAACCTGCAGGACAACACTGAGAACCTGCAGGACAACACTGAGAACCTGCAGGACAACACTGGAAACCTGCAGGACAACACTGAGAACCTGCAGGACAAAACTGAGAACCTGCAGGACAACACTGAGAACCTGCAGGACAACACTGAGAACCTGCAGGACAACACTGAGAACCTGCAGGACAACACTGAGAACCTGCAGGACAACACTGAGAACCTGCAGGACAACACTGAGAACCTGCAGGACAACACTGAGAACCTGCAGGACAACACTGGAAACCTGCAGGACAACACTGAGAACCTGCAGGACAACACTGGAAACCTGCAGGACAACACAAACCTTGAGCACATGTCCAATATCAATGTTTCCATCTTTGTCTTCAGGACAACACTGGAAACCTGCAGGACAACACAAACCTTGAGCACATGTCCAATATCAATGTTTCCATCTTTGTCTTCATCGAGTACTTCTGCGATCCTCTGGAGTCTGGTCTCGTTTGGCACCTTCTGAAGTCTCTTTAGGGCCAGCAGTAGGTCATTGATGCTGATCAAATTCCTCCTGCAAGGGACACAACTCATTCATGCATATGTCTTACATAAAATTCCAGACTAAAGATAAACCTGATAAAATGTTTCAAATACATGGTACTCCTGCATCATTTTTGGTTTGTAATCTTACACTTTTGATGGAAAGTCTAGAATTTTCTTGGAAAGATGAGGATAACAAATCAAAAAGTTTAAAAACAGTATCTATTTATTATGCCAACATCCTATTTCTTTATCAAGTAAAATGTAAAAACTTAAGAACTTTGACAACATACGTTTCCTCTGCCATTTTCTGCAGGAATGCATCTCGTTTCTCCTCATCCTCTTTGAACTCAGCACTTCGTCTTATCTTGACTTCACCCATTTCTATGGCTTCCTGGATTTCTTCCTTCTTTGTGTGCAGCTTAGCAAACTCTGAGTCCATGGTGTCAATCAGCTTGTTGACCTGTTTAGCGAGACGTTTGGCACCCTTGGACTCCACAAGGTCCTCCTCTAATCCCTTGTCCAATATCACAGCCTTTAAGTCTTCTAAGTCCTAGGTACAAAAAAAGGAAATTGTTAATGTATAAGTGTTTTAGGCAAAACATAAACAAGGAAAGCGTGGCCATAAGATATCAGAGAGATTATACAAAATCATTATCACAGGGCAGGTCTACTGTATCTATACCTTAACAATGTTTTAATGTAACAACTAGTTAAAGGAGAAAATCCTTGTTCAACTTTGTTATAAGATAAGGAAAGAGACTTTTGAAGGTTTTACATCAAAATGGTAACATTTGAGAAGTTGACCTTGACCTTGTATATCTAGTTTGTTATATAACTGAAATGACCCATGTATGACAGTGTCTTTAGATTTTGTTTATCATTGTGAACAACATCACAATTATCTAACAATATACTATTATTTAGATGAGATGACCAGTGTTTCACTACCTTGGAAATTAAATGAGGCAGAAAACATTGAACTTACATAAATATTTCAGTGATTTACTGAAAGAATTGACCATTTAACACCATCCTTACCTCCTTGTATTCCTCTACATCCTCCTTCAGGTCTTTGATCTTCTCCTGGTCAATATTAATTGCCTTTTCATGTGCAATCTCACCCAGGGCAGCCTCGATATCCTCCAACTCTTTTGGTGTGATTTCCTCCTCTTCATCCTCCTTCTCAGTTAAAGATGGGGCTGCATCCACCATTGCTAGTAACAGAAATTCAAAACATCAATCCTCTTTTATCTGTTTATCAGTAGATCAGTTAATCTCTTATTCTGACAGAACTAATTTTTGCTTTGCAATTTGTCATACACAAATGTTTCATGTGATGTTGTTCTAAAGATGATGTCATATTTCCTTATGGTAACTTTATTTGATGTATGTAGAGTCAAACTTACCAACAAAGGGCACAAAAGGGAGACAAATGGCCATTGCGGCTTTCTGGACAGGTATATGTTATATAAATGTGTCCTTTATAAACAGGGATTTGTTATATAAAGGTGGATTTTCTAAAGGTGACCTGTATAGATAGGTATTTGGTTTATACAGGTGACCTTTACAGACAGGTATTTGTCATATACAAATGGCCTATATAGTTAACAATTTGTTATGTAGAGTGACCTTTGTAGACAGATATCTTTTAAATTAATGCAGTCTTTAAGTTTGAATTTTCTTGAAATAAAACAACTAGTCACACTCACTGTCTACAGTCACCATCACTGTCTACAGTCTCCCTCAATGTCTACAGTCATCCTCTCTGTCGACAGTCTCTGTCACTGTCTACAGTCACTGTTACTGTCTACATCAACCTCACTGTCTACAGTCTCCCTCACTGTCTACAGTCTCCCTCACTGTCTACAGTCAACCTCACTGTCTACAGTCACCCTCACTGTCTACAGTCAACATCACTGTCTACAGTCTCCCTCACTGTCTATAGTCAACATCACTGTCTACAGTCACCTTCACTGTCTATAGTCACCCTCACTGTCTACAGTTTCCCTCACTGTCTACAGTCAACCTCACTGTGTACAGTCACCCTAACTGTCTACAGTCACCTTCACCCTCTACAGTTTCCCTCACTGTCTATAGTCACACTCACTGTCTACAGTCACCATCACTGTCTACAGTCTCCCTCAATGTCTACAGTCATCCTCTCTGTCGACAGTCACTGTCACTGTCTACAGTCACTGTTACTGTCTACATCAACCTCACTGTCTACAGTCTCCCTCACTGTCTACAGTCACCCTCACTGTCTACAGTCAACTTCCCTGTCTACAGTCACTCTCACTGTCTACAGTCAACATCACTGTCTACAGTCTCCTTCACTGTCTATAGTCTCCCTCACTGTCTACAGTCAACATCACTGTCTACAGTCACCTTCACTGTCTACAGTCAACCTCACTGTCTACAGTTTCCCTCACTGTCTACAGTCAACCTCACTGTGTACAGTCACCCTAACTGTCTACAGTCACCCTCACTGTCTACAGTTTCCCTCACTGTCTATAGTCACCCTCACTGTCTACAGTCACCCTCACTATCTACAGTCAACCTCACTGTCTACAGTCACCCTCACTGTCTACAGTCACTGTCACTGTCTACAGTCACTCTCACTGTCCACTCTCTACAGTCACCCTCACTGTCTACAGTCTCCCTCACTGTCTAGTCACTCTCACTGTCTAGTCACCCTCACTGTCTACAGTCACTCTCTACAGTCTCCCTAACTGTCTACAGTCTCCCTCACTGTCTAGTCAACATCACTGTCTACAGTCACCTTCACTGTCTACAGTCACCCTTATTGTCTACAGTTTCCCTCACTGTCTACAGTCAACCTCACTGTGTACAGTCACCCTAACTGTCTACAGTCACCCTCACTGTCTATAGTTTCGCTCACTGTCTATAGTCAACCTCACTGTCTACAGTCACCCTCACTGTCTACAGTCACTCTCACTGTCTACTCTATACAGTCACCCTCACTGTCTACAGTCTCCCTCACTGTCTAGTCACCCTCACTGTCTATATTCACCCTCACTGTCTACAGTCTCCCTCACTGTCTACAGTCAACATCACTGTTTTCAGTCACCTTCACTGTCTACAGTCACCTTCACTGTCTACAGTCACCTTCACTGTCTACAGTCAACATCACTGTCTATAGTCAACATCACTGTCTATAGTCACCCTCACTGTCTACAGTCACCTTCACTGTCTAGTCACCTTCACTGTCTACAGTCACCCTCACTCTCTATAGTCAACAGTCACCTTCACTGTCTACAGTCAACATCACTGTCTACAGTCAACATCACTGTCTAGAGTCAACATCACTGTCTACAGTCATCATCACTATATAAAGTCTCCCTCACTGTTTACAGTCACCCTAACTGTATATTCATTTTGAGGACATTCAGAAATATTATGTATACACATACAACTCTACAGTAAAATTTGCCTTTAACTTAACATTATATCTGAAAATTCCAGAAATTGGTTTCATTTCTGTAGATCATTGTGTCTTATCTTTGAAGCTAAGAAGGGTACAGATATGTAACACATAGTTATCAGTTGATATTCAAGTACACTATATTTGTCTTACTTTCTGTAGGTTTGGCCTCCATGATAGGTGCTGTGTCTACCATCACTGGTTCCACAACTTCTTTCTCAGGTGGGGCTGGTGTTTCTACCTCTTCTATCACCTATTATGAAAGTTGATTAACAACACATTTATTCATGTTTTGGTTGCCTAGGTGTAGTCTTACTTTCATCCCATTAACTGTCTGATAAGGAGAAATATTTTTACACCACATCAACATGAATCACATCATAAAAACAAATCAAGAGGCCCAATGGGCCTATAACACTCATCTGGTGTATATATATACCACCCAAATATCATGCCTCCAGGCCTTTTATTTTAGTTTATGAGAAGTTAATAGAAATGAGAAAAAAAAAAACATTTGTGATAGACCTATTAACTGGAGTTTTAACTACCAAAATAAATATTAAGCATAGCCAAATCTCTATTTGAAGAAAGCTATTGCAGTATATGCTCTTTTACATTTCCCCCAATTTTTTTTGTGGGGTGGGGGTATATTTTGTGACACTATGCTCCACTATGCCCCCCATCCTTCAAAAACATTTTTTCACAAAAAACTTAGATCAATACAGAAGGATATCTGAATTCAATAAATCTGAAGTGCAGATTACATTTTAAAAACGACAATGATATTTATATGTTAAGCACTGACCTCCTCCATCTTCGTTTTCTCAAGTTCCTCGTCCTTCACCTTGGCTTTCTCAAGTTCCTCATCCTTTGCCTTTGTTTTCTCTAGTTCCTCATCCTTTGCCTTCCTCTCTGTCTCAATGACCTGTTCTTGTTGCTTGATCAGCTCTAACTTAGCCTTGTTGTCCACCTTCTCTCCGTGGATCTCAGCTACCTTGATCTTCGCCTCTGTAGTCTGCCAACAGACAAAACATTGTACTGAAGTTCAGTTGTACAAGTAAAAACTGTTGACAAATTAAAAGAATAATATATTAATAAATTATGCGATCAATTTGTTCCACTTTAAACTCAGCTAGAGCAGGTGTCAACTTGGTATCTTAAATACCTACCAAGTTTAAAAAAAAACTGATTTATCCTACAGAAACATAGAAGAGGACAGAATAAACACTTCCCATACAGCAAATTTTTGTAGGTAAATGAAATTGATTGAAAAATATTCCAGACAATACACTAACTTATCTTGTTACTGAATGATAGGGTTAGAATGATAAAATGCAATCTTTAATTTGAAGAGAAATTCCCAATTCAATATCAAAAATAATCTTCCAATATTTCAAATCATTCAAGTTTTATTCATGACAATGCAACTGTTCCTTTTCAATTGCTTTCCAAACCTTATCTACGCATTAGACATACCGTAGACTCTGGCAGAGCCGAGATAGTAGCCTTCAGCTGTTCAGGTGTAGAGAGAGTTTCGGGGAGGTAGAGCGCCCGTGAGAGGAGAAGGAGAGATATTGGGATCTTCTGTGTCAGATGCAGATCCAGCCACTGTTGAAGTTGTACCTTTAGTCTCTCCTCAGACACACCTAAAGCACGCATTCCTCTTGCTCGTACTGCTGACTGCAGCTCCCAGGTTGTTAGGCTGTCTATGCCTTCCTTTTCTATCATCTATCAATACAAGTTTTAACTCCAATAAAAACATGAATTGGTAAAACTGATACCCCATTTAATGATTATACATGTTTAACATGTCCTACAAATGTCATATATTTTACCGCTGTAGAAAAACATGATATACCAACAAATACAAATATTTATTGACGGTCTGGAGAAAGTGTGCAAGGAGTCTTCGGTCAGTGAAGGAAGAAACCAGAATGCCAATGGAAAACCCACATGGTATATTACTATAATGCAAGCTGACCAACTTACTTATAAGATATACTCTACATCCATCCAATGCTTGTTTATCTGTTTAATAGGTTTTATGTCCACTATTATTACAGCCTTTCAGCAGACGAACATCCATTGTATGTACACATACAGAGTAGGTAACGTGTGTAGCGAGATTATAATACCATTTGGTCATGTGACCACATCATATATCTCACTGACATTGTCACACTTGTAGATGTTACAAGCACTTCACAATATCACATGAATGACTTAATCAAGTAAACCTATTCTATCAAAATGAACATATAAAAACAAAGTATCTGTTAAGATACTGTGGTATTGTGTTAATATAACACATATAATTAAATTTTGTTGCTGACCAGCATAAATATTCACCTGCTTCATGCAGTTTGTCAGAAATAACAAAATGTGCTCAAGGAACATCCTTTACTGAAAGCTCTACCAGACTTCATTTACATTGTATGTTAATTAGGATCATAACACCCTTCAAGTTTGTCAGTAATAGCTCTGTGTTAAAGACTTGTTACATACATTCATACCAAAAATAGTGCAATGATAATTCATTTAATTCAATGAAGCATTGATGTCCTAACCAGTTTCTTACTAGACCTTTCAACAAAGAAGTTTGGCCTAAAATCACCCTGGCCATTGATGGTTGCTAAACACAAATCAAATTGTTAGCAATATAAAAGGGGAGACAACTCAACCATAAACAGTCTGCCCATGGTTTTTGATACGCTATATCTTGCTACCGGTAACTTCAGAGGACATTTTACATTTCCCACCATTGTTTTGGACTTACATTTCATTCTAAGCTTAAGCTATGCCATTTTTATGATATGTTTAGAAATTGTGAAATAGCTATCATTCCATGTGATTTTAATCTGAAGACACTTTCATTCTTTTATTTGGATTTTCCACATAAAGTTCAAAGGTTATTACACTTAAATATTCAAAACAATATATGAATCTATAGATAAAATCACATCATATCACTGTACAAGCTCTTACATAAGAAGTATCTCTGTGTTGGCATTTTCTTGGTGTTTTTTTACTAGAAAATAAGAATACCTTATCATCAGCGAATAGTTGTCGTAGTTTCATTCTCAGTTGAAAACGTAGCATGTTATCAGGGGCATATGAGTTTGGGATGTTTAATACATGGTTAAGTGCCTGAAGTTGTGGTCTGGTCAAATTCTCTAGGGTTATCTCATCCTCAAACAGCTTACTGTACCGTAGAATCTCTTCATTCTCTGGAACAAAGCCTTCCTGACGCACCTACATTAAAATGAGTACAAAACTAGCTTAATTCATTTGTAAGCAAACAAATAATTTTCAAACTGGATATATCCTAAAATCTTAGTCTAAACATAGTAACAACAACAAATAGTCATTATATATAAAGAATAACATGACAGATATCATCAATGAAGCAGGAGATGCTTACCCTTCTAGAACACTTAGTCCTATTCTGCATGAACTTTTTCAGAGTTTCCATACAAATCTTTCTTTTGTTCACGTTTTGCCCTAGGTTTATTGAACATGAGTTTTGACTATGTTTATGTTGACATCCAAGCATAAAGATCACTATCTGTTTCCTTCAAGTCATCTTGTTATGAGATTTAACTTATATCTATTGTGACATATGATAATGTTGTTATAATATCCTTCATGTGATATGTGCTTTCAATCACCAGATTCCTTCTATAAGCTTTATAGGTACCGGGGTAGTTGACTTTTTTCTTTTGATATAATGAAATCATTCTGTAGACATTTGTCCCAAAGATAGTTACATGTTTACTGTCTGACCACATGTAAATCTGTAACAGACAACATAGACACGACGCAGACAAAGTAACATTACCTTTTGTAGAAATTCTGAGAACTCTCCCACCATTTTGCTCTCTTTCTTGCCCTTTTTTGACTGCAGGGAACTCTCTTCGATGGTATCCTGAAGGAACTTTGCCATCTCCAGTTTAACTTTCAGCTTCTTTTTACTCAGTTCCAGCTGTAGATAAAAATAATTTGATGTTAAGTCAGATCAATAGAGTGTTCATAATATAACATGACATCATGCTATTTCTAAAATGATCATTGATCAACATTTATAAGTCATGAATGGAAAGGGGAAAATACAGTAAGTATGCACTAAAATCAGTCAAACTTCGTGGATATCATTTTCCAAATACAGTTCCTGTGTAATGAATAACTAATGTTTAATGTGACTAGTCAATCAGAACAACATACTGATCCATAGTGTTATATCTAGGAGTATACATGTATGACTAATCCAGGTACACATATGTTGGAGTCTTTATACTAAATGTACATTGTATAACATAAAAATGCAGTTATCTGCAGCTATCAGACAAAGTAAAATAACATGAAAACCACTGTACCTCCTTCTTACTGCCAGGCTTGTCATCTTGGAAAGTACTGGGTAACATGTTGGGAAAGAGTTTCAGGGCAACAGGTAAAAGGAACTCCATGAAAGGAATTACAAGGAATACCATGAAAGGCACAAGTCGAAACAGGTCAGCAGACGTTCTCACCAGCTGGAACCATATCAATAATCATTTTAATGTAAATATAGAAAGAAAGAAAAAAATTGTGAAATGTGTTTCTATCATTGACGTGATGGGTATTTACTGTGGTCTTATAAATGTTTGGTACTTAGCTTCCCATAATGATAGATTAGGTACTTTATTTCCTTAGCCTACATATTGGATTCTTTGTCTTACAAATGCTGAACAATGAATAATGATTTCTTCATTGATTTCTACACACATGTACTTTGAACATGAAAGGCCAATGATTTCTACATACATGTACTTTGAGCATGAAAGGCCAATGATTTCTACATACATGTACTTTGAGCATGAAAGACCAATGATTTCTACATACATGTACTTTGAGCATGAAAGGCCAATGATTTCTACACACATGTACATTGAGCATGAAAGGCCAATGATTTCTACATACATGTACTTTGAGCATGAAAGGCCAATGATTTCTACACACATGTACATTGAGCATGAAAGGCCAATGATTTCTACACACATGTACATTGAGCATGAAAGGCCAATGATTTCTACATACATGTACTTTGAGCATGAAAGGCCAATGATTTCTACACACATGTACATTGAGCATGAAAGGCCAATGATTTCTACATACATGTACTTTGAGCATGAAAGGCCAATGATTTCTACATACATGTACTTTGAGCATGAAAGGCCAATGATTTCTACATTCATGTACTTTGAACATGAAAGGCCAATGATTTCTACATACATGTACTTTGAACATGAAAGACCAATGATTTCTACATACATGTACTTTGAATCAAAGGTATTGAGCAAAGAAGAATGATAAAGTCATCATCATAAGCAATGACATTAATTTATATAGAGCTATTTGTCTGGACAAAATTTACCTGTTTGTTTTCTCTCCTGGTCAGCTGTTTGCCATTCAGCAGTGCCCACACTAACCTTCTGCAGACCTTTACATCCAGCCACAGCAGTCGAAACCCATGATAATAATGCTTCAACTCAGCCACAAAGCGTTGCCATAGAGTCTTTGTTGCCACCACCTGAGTCTCTTGGGCACTTGCGACTGGTGCTGCTTTAGGCTCTGTGTCTGGAGGTTTGTCTTGTAAAGCTTTCACACTTTTTTCAACAGTTGATTCCTCTTTTCGATTAGTTGTAGTCGTATGGAAATGACGATTTATTGATAACACAGGGTGATTTAATACTCTATAATCTACAGATTTACCTATACAAGAGCTACCAAAATGTATATGTTTAGGTTGATTGTCTCTGAAGCATTCATCAACAGTTAGTGAGAGATTATGTGACGAGCAGGTAATATATGTGACAGGTGTGAGGCCTTTGTGTGGTGGGGAATGTCTGTTTTGTAAGAGTGGAGATACTGAACTCCTTGAATACCTGCAAAACAGTAAGATAATTAAATGAATCATAAATACCACAAATCATCACACCTTATCTTATCTTACAACTCATACCATTGTATATCTACAACCTACTGTACATGTACCAGACAGTATTGTATACAAGAACACTTCAGCCCAGAGTGTGTTCTGCCCTTGCATATAACTGTTCATTTTTGCAGAGTTTTCGCACCACACATCCACCAGTTTCTTTTTTTGTTTCAGTGTCAAAATTTAGCCAAATTGTTTTTTTTCCTATTAGGACTATTACAAAAGAGGTGAAAGGATCTCAACAAAAGTCAATGGAAAATGTGTAGAGTATAGGCTGATGTGATCCATTCAGTAAAATTCATGGACATCTTCACTATTTTTCTTTGCGATTCCCAAGTACGATACCTGTCTGGCAATAAGCCCATACCTGGTATTAGAATCCTAAACATATCTCTTGTTGAGTAGAATGCTCCTTTAATAAGTCACTCCCCTGATGTCATGTTAAAATTTAAAATACATGTTACTACAGATACTACACCCACAGATGATATCCCCCCCTGTAATAAAGATGATACCAGAACTCCCTGAACAAATATTGATAATAAAAGAACAATTAACAGTATGCTCCTAGAACCTGTCAATGTACCATGGGGTACTGAAGGAAACCACACTGCCCTGAATCAAAGTCTTTTTAGTCTTTTAGGCATCAAAAGATGTATTATTGGTGCTGTAAATGACAAAGTGAAATATATAAGCAAACCTAATATAGTGTCTACAAAATGATCATTAACTGCAACTCTATCAATAAAATTGATTTATCAAGTCAATTTGAGTGTAAAATCATTTTGTATACTCTCCACTTTTATTTCCTATAATTTTATGTACATCTGCAATAAATTTCTTTCAAAATAAGATATAAGTTTTTGTTACCCAAATAATCAATCCATGAGAAAACCAAATTGACTAGTGTTTTGTGATGATCAACGTTTTTCAAGTTTCATGATTTTATTGTAATGATATTCATTTTTATTTCCTAAGAAGGAATCTATTCAGTTAATCTTAATAACTGACTTCATTTATTTCTTAACAATTATAAAACACTTCCCATCAATTTATGCTAATCTCTTTAAGTTTGTTGGTGTCAATAGAGGTATGTGAGGAGTCTAAGAAATATACATAATGCAAGAAAGCTTGCAGAGTGACCAGGGAAAATTTTATATTAACTCACTGGTCAGACCTGGGACCCCATACTTTTTCATGTCTGATTGAGAAGTTGAACTCTGGTTGCTTCGATGGAAAGGTAACAGTGTTTGAGAAATTATATGATTATAAGGTAGAATAATACTTTACTTACCATTTCTGACTTGTTCCTACACAGCTTCTACAAGGGCTTAGCACTCCCTGGAGAGGAGCTATCAACACAGAAATCATAAAATGAAATATAGAAGAATAGGTAAAGGCTGAATATAGATTATTTGAATACAATTTATCAGAATTCATTTCATATTTTGATACTTTGCATTATTATGATAATTCTGAGCAGCTACTTAAAGCCAGGTTAAGACAACGGGCTAAGAGCCTGAAGAAGTAAATCATCAAGTGTTCTATATCAACTCATTGCTAAAGAAGCTAAAGACCTCAGAGGACCTTTGCTATGAAGTAAATAAGCACTACTCTGACAGCACATGTCATACACAATGTTTAGGATGACCATTCTCATATCCCATCTCATCTAACACACTTCATTCCAGACTTTTCCTCCATTAAATATAACTTTGATTTGAACTATCCAAGCTTAGACTTGTGTATCATAAATGTTGTTTACAAAGAGTTCACTAAACCTGTAAAACATACTTTGTTACAAAGTCTAGATCTCTACTCTAAGAACAGTTGGTGAACATTTGTATATATGACAATTTTTTTATGTTAGCATTTTTCTATCTTATGGAATAAGGACTAAACTTCAACTTTTGATTCACAATATCCCATTTACTGTTGCACAAATTATCTCCCCTTGTCTGCACCAATTCAGTTCACCTACATGATGAAATGTCATATAGACTATTACAATATACAGACATCCATTTCTGTCACCATATCATAGAGATCAAAACTTGTCATTTAAAAGCAAAATTGAAAGTAGTTTTGTGCCATTACAGAATCACACTATGCATGCTCATACAAATGTACTCTAATATGAAATTAATTCACATAAAAATTTACCTGGCTATTTGCACTATTAAAAGCACCTACTAATTATTTACTTACAATATACTTACTAAAAAAATGAAGTTTTTCATATTATATATTGTGAATGTTTCATACTACTGACTCTTAAGCTAGCTGACATAAATGGTTCACAAATACATTACAGTTCACAATGTTTATTTAATGTTATTCTTGAGAAATATTCGAGAATTGTGACACTTTGATTATCATTGAAACCACCATGAGAAGCATAAGTAAATGCTGTCAAACTGTGTATAAACAGTGATTGGGAGCTGAGAAGGATGGAAGTGAACTTGAATTTAACTGTAGTACTAACCCTACTTCTATCTGTTTACTTCAATTTAGTGAAAATATATATTCAATCCAAACTAAGAAGATCAGAAGCTGCTTTCAGTCAATATGTCCAGGTTTGTATATATATTTAAATATGAACAGTAAATAAGTCTTATCCAGAATTGTTTACACGTTGTTGTGTTTTTGTAGTTTGAAGGTCAGTATCATGCATCGATCAGCTGGGTTGTTATGTTTAACCAGCCGGTGTTTTGTAACCTCGGCATGTCAAGATTATTTTAACACATGCATTAGCAATGTACGTCTTTAACTCACCCCTTGCAGCAAGACAAATTAAATATCGATGAGCCATGTTGAAATGGAATCAATAGTGTGCTGTAACTAGATACAAAACATAAATAATCACTCATCACCGGTCGGTCGTTTCACATCTGAGGCGAAGTTCGAAGAACACTGTTATTTAGACGCTTTAAAATTAGCACTTTCCGTTTGTACGTGGAAGCATTTGACTGATCATGATCAAGTAGAATTGTTAAGGCAGATAATCCTGCTGTTCTCAACAGCGAACCTCCAAATAAAAGCTCCATCATACACCAACACATCAGTCTGTCTCGGTATATAGAACAGCGTTAGTCCATTAGTTCATATATCGTTGTAGACGTCGATGGTAAGCTGCAATTCACTGTTTTTCAAGATGCGGTTTATATTTTTAACTTTAAAAAAATCCTCATTAACAAACATTTTGCTAGACGAGATCAAGACATCAGCCTGTTAGAAAAATATTAACTGGGGGCCGTGCAAGGCCCAAATCCGAAGTCGATATTTTTCTACTAGGTTCATAACACCATAATTGTTCAAAATCCCTCACAAATGTACCTGTAATTTGATTATTGCTTTGTTAAAATTTATGAAATACTCGTATCATTCGGACAAATACATAATAATCAACAATTGACTTTATTTTCTTAACAGACTTACAGAAATTAAAAAAAAAACTTTTAGAAAATAAAATACCTGAATTAGATTATCTTTATCCCTGTCAGACACGCATAAACTGTACATAACTTATACTCCGGGTTCCACATGGTCTGCACTGTGTTGGAAATTCAGACACATGAAGTCCATATTATACGTGGTCCAAATTGGGTTTTTTTCTAAATTTAGAAATGCAGAGTTCATATATTACAAAATCATCAACCTTCACAAGACGAACTTTTATCCAATAAAAATAAGGGAAAATTTTGCCAATTTGAAATATATATGTATATCTCAGAAATGGCCTCCGTAACAGCAGAGATGTATATAACACATGCATGTAATACGTCTATGGTAACAGATAGTGTTCTTATTTCAAATGATCACATTCCAGCACACACCACTCAGTAGAGAGTAATCATTACTATATTGATGAAGTTCTAATACCAAATGAAGAAGTGTTTGATATACATGTACGTGTGACAACAGGACAGGTATGATCTGATGACACATAATGATGTTTTTCACAGGTGTTAAGGAAATCCTGATACAGACAAATATAACTGGTATATTACTTGTAATGATAGATCTATCAAATGTAGAAATGATACATATTGTTATGTGTTCGCCCCTACTACAAAAACAACAAATACACATGCCATACATAATATGTGATGTGCGCGAAAAATCATTTGTTTTTCATCAGGATATGTAGAGGAGTCTTGGATTTAACGGCCTGTATTTCTGTAAAATTGTAAAACAAATTAATAAAAAAAAAAAAAAAAGTCTCAAAGGGCCAAAAAAAATAGAGTTTGTCACTTTTGATAGTCATTTGACTGAAAGGCCAATTTCAGTGTGACTGTTATGATAGTGATTTATTTCAAACGAGACCATTTGCACACCTTTTACCAATATAATTTCAAAACAGAAACACAATACATATCTTCCATCATACGCAACACGAGTTTCGCACTTTATGCAGGAATAGGTAAGATTAGAATAAGTAGATCATAAATAATGAAGACCGTCAATATTGGTTAACATTTTATTTGAAAATTAAGAGCATCAACATTGATCACTAATGCCAGATAAAATACAAAAGAATGTCAGTTTCCTGAACGTTATGTCACAAAGATATAAGGCTGAAAATATCAAAGGGAACAGGATAAAAACTAGTCCTAATTGGGGCTGATCTTATAGTATTACGGAGCTGTGATATTAATCAAATTTTGATGTATCATTTGTGAAATTTTAGTCAATCATGGAATGATTACATGAGAATGATAGTTATCACTTCCTGGATAAAAGCCAAATCATTGTAGTTTATCCTACTATATATGTAATTGAAATATTCAGTTTAATCTATTTCATAGATAGAAGTGTTTTCATTTTGTAATGTGAACTACAAGTATTATATTTTTATATTATCTTCAAGCAATGTAACCATTATATATGCTAGGTAGCTCTTCAATAGTGCATATAAAACTAGGAAATGACAGTGTGTGAAAACACAAATATCTTATAGTTTGAAGTAAGAAAAAGTGGGTAAGTTGAATTTAGCAGAGAAGTACTAGAAACAGGTATCAATAAATAAAATACAGAGAAATATTTCAAACACTCAATAATACCATTCTCACTGATCGAGACACAAATGCGTCCCCGAAATAAATTCCTTGTGTAAGGTTTATCAGGGAATAATGAACCCTTCTATAATGGGTCCTTAATTTTATTCAGTACACAAATCAGAGTTCTCTAGTTAGGACTAGATCTGGTGAGTTTTCATTTTGTTTAGCCTCTCGGAGTTTTTCGTTGTACAGCTTTACAGCCGAGGGACCGAAAATCGTCAGTGATAGAGGCAGAGAGTGGTCAGTAATAGGGGCCAAGAGTAGTCAGTGATAGGGGCTGAGAGTGGTCAGTGATAGGGACCGAGAGTGGTCAGCGATAGGGGAAGGGAGAGGTCAGAGATAGGGGCCGAGAGTGGTCAGCGATAGGGGCCGAGAGTGGTCAGCGATAGTCGCAGAGAGTGCTTTTGCTTGTTCAGAAGTAGCAATTTAACATTGTCACTAATCACTAGTTAACTCTAAATAACCTTTGAGCAACCGGGACCTGATATCCTTGAGTTACTTCCCTTCGTTTCACTCTTTCACAGTCGACAGGGCCGAAATTAGACGAGAGGGATCAAGGATGCTGAGTATACACCTAGAATTAGTTCTAAACCTATACCAAAAAACAACAATTTTATTTCAGGGCCAGGAAAAGCCAAGGTCAGAATCAGAATGGCTTAATGCCAAACACAGTTTTATAGGTTATCGCCATACTAACCCAACCGCATATTGGGACTCATTGGGAGATTGTTAATTTACCGCATATTGGGACCCATTGGGAGATTGTTAGTTTATAAGCAAGGTTCCATCTACTATTCGCACCCAGTCTATGTACTGCATAGGAAAGAAAAGATATTGAATATCATAAATCATAAATGTTTAAAGCCATAAACAACCAACCTGAGAGGAATGTAACAAAATGTCTCTTCAAGATCGATGTATCAACTAGAACAAGTATAAAAATGCATTTAGTGAAACAGCTGTGTTGGATTTAGCGCCTAGCAGATGCTGGTGGAGATGAAGCATTTTTGACGAAAGAAAGTGTGTCAGGAATTTTATAGTTTCTGGTATACGGATAGGTTTTTATCATAAGAATAATGAGAGACCAAAAGGGTCTGTATTGCTCACTTACAGTATGGCTCAATATTGTAGAGCCAAGAGATTTCGGCAATTTTCGTGTTACAGTAATTATGCAGGCTAAATTTTAAACTCATTTTACCTCAATGACAATGAATGAGGATCAAGTTAATTAGCTAAAGTTGTTGTGAAGCACTTCATTCCAGGAAGCTGTTTGACAAATAGAATCTTCAACGTTTGGTTTTTTAGTAGTTTTGCTTTTGATGTTCTTTTTTCTTTATTTATCTATTATGAAAGACGTTTTGTCTATATTTGCTGTGAAGTTGTTTAAATATTACGGTAACTCATTTGACAAATGCTATCATGAAAGTAGTAAAAAATGTCATTGTCAGTATGAAATTTGATTGGCCCATTTTCATGACACTGGACCTGACCTCATTATAGCCTAACTGATATAAAGACTAATTAAATAGTTTAAAACAATTGACCTTGCGACCTGGAGTGCAGCGAGGTCATTCATCTCAACATGTATTTCTTTTTTTGCCCAACGTCATCATAACCCTGGATTTTCTGGTTATTGAGTAGCCTAATCGTTTAAAGGAAAACGAGGCATTAATTCAATTTCACGTTTCTGGAAAAAAATGTCCCTGCTGAGCGTCGAACCACTGAACATTAATCACGTGAATCTGTTTGTTTTCTTCCTTTAATTCTGTTATACTGATATGTAAAATTGAATACAAAGGATAAATATAGCAATGCAGCGTACTATCGCACTGTAACATAATTATATAGCTAGAGATTGAAGATATTGTGAAGTCTCGCTAAGACCGGAAGTTGAGGTTTTGTCATCGTTCCCTTGCCATAGCAGCATCATAAACTTCCGGTGAAATCAAAGATGTCGGCTGTTCATGACCGAGGTGTGTTAGGAGACGGTTAGGCTAATGGATGGCGTAAGTGTCACACACTATGCATTGTGTGTTCTTAGTACTAAATTGTTAAACCCCAATAACTACACTGAAATATTTCAACGCTTCTTTTCAAATCTTCAGCAGCGCACCTGCTGAACACACGAGTCAGTGAGTGCAGTGAACTAATTGTATGTAGACATGGCATGATATTGGGTTAATCTTCACTTATACTAAACTTTTATATTTCCATTTGTGTATGGAAATTAAGCATATCTAGTACCTTATAAAATATTCACTGAATAAGTGTCCAGTCTATGTACCAGTCACGGTCACCCTGTGTGTGTGCAGTACTACTGAGCACCTTCGTTGCAATTTCAATTTTCCGAAGTGTACCTGCACCCATGCAAATACATTATATTTAACGGACAAACATATATATGTTTCTGTATTAATAATTGTATAATTTTCATATACAATTGTTTAAATGTATATATATATATATATATGTATACCTACCAAAGTCATTATTTATCACGAATGTACGAATATTCATGCATAAATACTTATTTTCATCATTATATGAATATCAGTTCAGCAATCAATGATGATCTTTTGGAGACCTCTAGTAATTGTGACCACCATTGCCCTCACTGTACTGTTTATGGTCTCTTGGTGACTGTATTCAAATACAATTAATTTTTCATGTTTTTACACTTAATGCAGCTTTCTGATTTGTTGCATTCACTAAATTTGCAAATTTGTTTTTCTTTCATACCGGCATGAAACTGAAAAACTATTTTATTAGTTTCAAACCATTTTCCTTATTAGATTATGGGTCCTAGACCCTAGGGCAGCAGGATAAGATGTCTGCTTGGTTAATTACATGTAGTTGTTTCCCCATTCGTTTTATTGAGCACTGATGTACATGCATTTTTATGTGTTATTTATGTTTATTCTGAGAAGTCTCTGATAATTTAGGACGTTTCTATTCCTAAGATATTCTTTCAGATGAGGGAAGATAATCTAACGTTTGAGGGATAATCAGAGCAGATTTTCAAAGAAAATGAAGCAGTACATGTATTAAACACACCGAAGTCCTGTACATGTAGTTGTATTAAAAGATTAAAAGGATGATAACCAGTATTCTGTTTAGCCTTAAGTACTGTCCAGAGAATTTAGTGCATGGAATATAATATCAGTTCACAGAAAAGCATAAGTAAAAGACAAACATATACATGTACAGACCCAAAATTTGTTATAATTAAACTTTTCGTCTTTACTGTCTGTTAAGATTATTAAAATTTAAAGATAATTTGTATTGGATCAGAAATTTTGATACCATTTTCTGTTTATTCTTTGTTTAGATCAATGTTAATAAGAGAAAATGCAGTGAACCAAACAGAGCTCTGAAGATTTAACAAACATGGCAGGAGTTAACGTAGGGATGGAGTCCATCAGTAATAGAGTGTATCCCGCTCGTGCATCATCTCAGGACATTGATACAGTGCCACTGAGTACTGGTGGGGGACACATGTCCAAGTCACGCTCGCGAAACTCTGAAACCTATGCTAAGGTTCAAAACAGCCTTACCATGGAAGAGGTCCGGTGGTCAGAAATGAGGAAGAAGATTCCAGGAATGGGCCGTGTGCCTCGGACCAAATTCTATACTGAAGAAGATGGATTTGAAAGGGTTAGAACCTTCTTTGTCATGATAGTGACGCAAACATTCCTTTCTGTTTTTTTTTTAATTTGCGTTGGAATATTATTCCATCAAGATTATTTTCTATAACTTTTGATTGTACAAAGTAATACAACACAGTTTATCTCTTATAGTTTATCACTATAAACCTTAGAAATATATTTACAAGAATGGTTTTCATCTCAGAAGATTTCGTCTGATATGTTAAACAATATGAAACAGGTTTAATAATAAATGTATAACTTGTTTTTATTATATAAAAGTACCACCTTGTTATTATTGAATATCTTAAATATTTTTATAGGCAAGACAGGAAAACAATTTTTACATTAGGACCCACTTCAAACAGAAGGAATGTTTTAGATTTGTACCGGCTAAAAAAGGACAACTTCCAGAGGTTAAAAAGGTTCGGGATATGAGGTAACGTATATAATACCTGGAAGAGAAGTTTGATATAACTCAGAATTTTGGTTTCTCTTGGAATTCATTGCTATATCTTTAGTATATCACTATCAATGTCATTATTAGACAGACCAAAATGTAGTATATAGCAGCAACAATTGTTGCTAAAGAGCAAGTAAGTATGGAGAGTTTTAAACTTTAAAGTAATGATAAGATTTTTGTTGTAAAATTGTTACAGTTAGTAGTAACTTTCTTTGCCTCTTAATGAATGACATTTCATGATTAGGTGATCAATTTCTGAACTAATACCTGTATAACCATTACCATTGTTTTCTCCCTTCACAGATGTGAATGTGGAGAAGTGCTACTCCGTCATCATGGTATGCAGGGTCCCACACAAAACTCACATGCGGATCGTGACATGGTGGAGAGCTATTTAGTACCAGATGGTAAGTCTTTGTGTGTATTTGTCAGATATACCAGAGTAAATGTTATTTCCCATTGTTTCACACCATCATATGATACAGTGTTACAGTCTATAGAACCAGGAATTCTGTTATAAAGATAAATTTTTTTTGTTGTAGAACTGAAGCAGTATATCAGTGTTGATAAAGGCAACAATGATATGCCAAACATGAAAGATCTTCCATCTGTCAGCTGGAATGCTGAGACTGCAATACGTTCCAGTGCTACAACATCATATGGGAAGATAAGTTTTGTCAATGTAGATGCAATGGGAGGACAGAAACCAGCTAAGGTTTGTATAGAGGTGATCAGTATCTAAGCCATTTTCTGAGAAAATTTCTGTGTTAAAGTTGTTGATTTTCAGAAAAGTAATTATGTAACGAAAATACACTGTAGCAAGTTTCCTATAACTGAATGAGAATTACCATTGACATTATATGTATGACTGTCTTTTTGGTTTGCAGCAGGTGTACTTTTTGTATTACAGTACTGTACAGTACAGGTGTGATTATCTCTATAGTCTGTTTCCTATTTCAGTATGTGAGACTGGCACCAGAAGACTCCATAGATCATCTAATTGAGCTGATGGAAGTCCACTGGAAGATCAATCAGCCGAAGCCTCCTAATTTGGTCATATCAGTTGTTGGAGGGGCAAAAAACTGTAAACTAGACGGACATATCCGAGAGAAGTTTTCTACTGGATTGATAAAAGTCAGTTTAAATCTATGATCCATTGAAGTGAAAATTGTAGTTATTGCTGACAAATTTTGGAATAAATTTTCCTGTCCATGTTATTATCATATTGATATATCTCACAATTAATGTTTGATTGCACAAAATTAAGATTTTGCACAATATTGTCATCAGGAAGCTAAAATGAATTATTTAGACATATTTCTGAAACAGGATATAAACTTTTTGTATTTTATGGGACAGATTGTATACATCAAAAACTTATAATGAGCTGTTGCTTTCTTTGGGTTGCAGGCAGCCAAAACAACCGATGCTTGGCTGATCACGTCTGGGTTTAACATGGGTGTGATGAAATATGTGGGAATGGCGGTCAAAGATGGCCAGTCATTCACCTGGAATAACGACAGAATGGCGCATGTCCTCCGTTGTATTGGCATTGCACCTTGGGGCTATGTCAATCATCGTCATGTGTTGGAGAGTCCAGATAGCAAGGTATAGCAATTCCTTTACTGATGTTTGTGTCACTAAACTATGCAGAACCAAATATCTGGTATGTTACTAATTCTTGAAAAATATGTATCAGCTGTTTTACCATCCAAGAAATTTTTTATTTTTGATTAATTTAAGTTGATGTTCATCATCATTCTAAGTTTAGTCCTTATGTAACCTGTATTGATCTTTGAATTTTGTTGTTTTTCAGGGCCTCTACAATGCAGAGTACAAGACAAGCAACATTATCCTTCATGGACAGCCAGTCCCTCTGAATGCTAACCACACCCACTTTGTTTTCGTGGATGATGGGTTCCGCAACAGATACGGGGGTGTTGCTGCATTTCGAGCCAAGTTTGAAAACAGAGTGCAGCAACCCAGAGAAGGTAAGTTTTTTCAATGATGAAAATGATTGATCTACATGAATATTCAATATTTGTTTTGCTACATCAATTTCATAACATGATAGTAAATTACGGAAGTTTGCCTGTTTAGCTGTTGAACGTTGTATTACAGATGGAGGCCTAGGCATACCTGTAGTATTGGTTGTGGTAGAGGGTGGTACAGATGCTATCGATGATGCTAAAAACTCACTTCAGCAGAACATTCCAGTGGTTGTATGTGCGGGGACAGGACGAGCAGCGGACATCCTAAGTTATGCTTACCAACATTACACTTCAGGGTATCTAAAGCTTTATCAACACTTAATCACATAGTTCATAGACATAGTTTACTTTATAAAGATTTTTATATTTTCATGGAGACCACAAGCTCCATAAACGTATTTTCCACATTGTAAGAGGTGCCACAACATTTACATTTATTGTGATCTTCAAATGTTTTTCAGTGAGGGTATTATATTAAACTTCAGAATTCTACATCATTTAGTTTACCACACACTTCATAAACATCTTTCATTGATATTAATTTGCATCTTAACATTATTTGAGTTCAATAAAATGAAAATATTTATGCAGCATTAACAACCACAAACTTTATCAATATCATTTGCCATTTCGTCTCCTTGCATTTAGTGAATTTAATTTGATTTTAAAACTAATTTCTTATCAATTGGTATACTACAAAATATAATTTTTTCTTTATTGTCAAATTCACAAGATTAATAATAAGTTAATAATATAATAGATGTGCAATTCCTTATACATAATATTGAATAGAATTAAATGCCAGGGATTATTTTTTGATATTATGCAAATTGTGAAACTTTTTTGGTTTGTTTTAATGATATCACAAGTTTATTGATTATTTTTTTGTGTGGAATTTTCTTCTCCTTATATCACCTGAAAGTCAAATTTAGCACTGACTATTACAGGGTGAATGATGTTAAGTGAGTACATACACATCCAGAAACACTTCTGTGATTCTATTGATTTTTTGTTTTATCATTATTTTTTTTTATCAGCAAAACTTTCTAATAGTCATTTTAATGCTGTGTAAAAGGAAATCTGTACCAGATGTTGATAGTAGATTAACAACTACTTCTCCATCAGACTTAAAAAAATTAATAATTACATGCCAGATCTCAAAAACTGTCACATGTCTTCACAGCAAACAAAAACTTCAGAAGTCCATATTGTGATGCCATATCATATTTCATACATTTACAATATTTGTTTGAAAATCATATACTTGCCATGCGTTAGACAAATAAATGATTGGATTGTCCAAAAAGATGGTTTTGATGTAGGTATAGTCTGGTTAATATGGTCATAATTATTGAATTCATTGGTTTCCTCATACATGTTCAAAATTCATTTTCAGAAAATTGACAAAAGAGCATAAGTTGCGAAGGAAAATTCAAGAAGCTTATGGAACCAAATGGAAGGATGATGAAAAAGAAGAGAAAACTGAGCCAATTCTGGAAAAAATAAAATTATGTCTCAAGAAAAAAGATTTGGTAAATAATATTGTATAATCATGATTCTCAGACGACGGTAAATAATATTGTATAATCATGATTCTCAGATGATTCTCAGACGACGGTGAATAATATTGTTTAATCATGATTCTCAGACGACGGTAAATAATATTGTATAATCATGATTCTCAGACGACGGTAAATAATATTGTATAATCATGATTCTCAGATGACGGTAAATAAAATTGTATAATCATGATTCTCAGATGACGGTAAATAATATTGTATAATCATGATTCTCAGACGATTCTCAGACGACGGTAAATAATATTGTATAATCATGATTCTCAGATGACGGTAAATAATATTGTATAATCATCATAATCATGATTCTCAGACGACGGTAAATAATATTGTATAATCATGATTCTCAGACGACGGTAAATAATATTGTATAATCAAGATTCTCAGACGACGGTAAATAATATTGTATAATCATGATTCTCAGACGACGGTAAATAATATTGTATAATCATGATTCTCAGATGACGGTAAATAATATTGTTTAATCATGATTCTCAGACGACAGTAAATAATATTGTATAATCATGATTCTCAGATGACGGTAAATAAAATTGTATAATCATGATTCTCAGACGATGGTAAATGATATTGTATAATCATGATTCTCAGACAACAGTAAATAATATTGTATAATCATGATTCTCAGACAACGTAAAAATATCATGATTCAGATGACTCAGACGACGGTAAATAATATTGAATAATATTGTATAATCATGATTCTCAGACGACGGTAAATAATATTGTATAATCAAGATTCTAAGACGATTCTCAGACGACGGTAAATAATATTGTATAATCATGATTCTCAGATGACGGTAAATAATATTGTATAATCATGATTCTCAGACGACGGTAAATAATATTGTTTAATCATGATTCTCAGACGACAGTAAATAATATTGTATAATCATGATTCTCAGATGACGGTAAATAAAATTGTATAATCATGATTCTCAGACGACGGTAAATAATATTGTATAATCATGATTCTCAGACGACGGTAAATAATATTGTATAATCATGATTCTCAGACGATGGTAAATGATATTGTATAATCATGATTCTCAGACAACGGTAAATAATATTGTATAATCATGATTCTCAGATGACGGTAAATAAAATTGTATAATCATGATTCTCAGACAACGGTAAATAATATTGTATAATCGGTAAATAAATTGTATAATCATGATTCTCAGATACGACGGTAAATAATCAGACGACGGTAAATAATATTGTATAATCATGATTCTCAGAAGACGGTAAATAATATTGTATAATCATGATTCTCAGACGACGGTAAATAATATTGTATAATCATGATTCTCAGACGATTCTCAGACGACAGTAAATAATATTGTATAATCATGATTCTCAGACGACGGTAAATAATATTGTATAATCACGATTCTCAGACGACGGTAAATAATATTGTATGATCATGATTCTCAGATGACGGTAAATAATATTGTATAATCACGATTCTCAGACGACGGTAAATAATATTGTATAATCATGATTCTCAGATGACGGTAAATATATCATCTTGATACTCTCATGAAAAGGTGTACTTCTTTTCATATAGAAATTTTATTTTTCTCTTTGTAAACAATGAACAATTCAAAGATACTTTTGAAACTCTAACTTGATGGTTGTCATTAATATTATTATACAAATGTATATTTAAATCTAAGGTACGCTGTAATGTAAACAATGTTCACACTTGTACAGTATGTAGATGACAACCAAAGATTAATGAGAACACTTTTGGGTTGTTTTAAAGATTTCTTGGAAGGAATATTTTTTTGATATCTATTAAGATGGAAGACTTCTGACCATACACATCATACTTTGATTTCCAGATGGTCAATTTTAGCATGAATAAGAATGAGGACTTGGATTTGGCAATTCTTTCCTGCTTGTTGAAAGGTGAGGATATTGTACGGTTGTAATATATTGTTACTGTAAATTTGGATATTCATTTTAGGAATTCAAAACCATGTTAATTAAACAAACCTTATTAAAGTGTTTATTAAAATTTATTGATCAGAAAAATCAGAATGTATAACAAAGCCATTTTCAGTTGGTCACTCCCCACTGAACATCAGTTTGTTTTCTTTCGCAGGGTTTGTATACCCAACCAACTTCAATTTAAAAAAAGAAGTAAAATCTTCGAGATTATTAGAGATTAACAGAAAAATTGCAAGAGCAATGTCTGTCTTAACTAAATGTATGCAGATTGTGAAAATTCTTTATAATCCCGATGAAGTAATTGTGTATATGTTGGTTGTAGCTAAGTCAGGAGAAGCAACGGAGAAGGAACGACTGAATCAGCTACGTCTTGCCCTGACCTGGGATAGAGTGGACATAGCACAGGAAGACATATTTCGTGAGGACTGCATTTGGACACCAGGAAGTCTAGACGATATCTTGATGGATGCCATCTTAATGGAACGTGTAGAATTTGTACACCTTATTCTCCAGCAGGGAGTGGTGATGAAAGAATTCCTTACCAAGACACGACTGACACAACTCTACCAAAAGGTAGCTCTATCACATCTCTTCTTTGCCACATATAGGGAATGTTTACAAGTTGTCCGCTGTTCATCTTTGTAATGGTATTGTGTTACCCATGACTGTTCCTCTTTTTGCATCTCATCTTGCCCCATCCTGTACTGTTCCTAATCAATATATCTTGAGAAGTCACAAGAGATTAGGTTCATATTTACCCCTTAGTATAAATATATATATTTCTACACCTGATCAGATTCTGATTTACATACGGGGGCATTCATGTCTTAGAGACATTTCTAGTTTCCTTGGTGTCACTATGTTTTCGATCGTGTTAGTGTGCCCTCTACTGATGGCCTCTACCAAACTGTTTGATTTGTGTTCCCTGAACAAATATACACACAGCTTAAATTATAAAACAGATTTTGGAAATTTGAGAACAAAGTAAGAAAATTGTTAATCACTTTTTTATTACAACATATTAAAACCCATGAGGACCAAAGTTAATACACAGTATGATATATGAGTATTGGAAATATCTGGGGTTAAGCTGGTAAAGGTAAAACAAAATGTCATCTTTATCAATTCTTTTACCTGCCTGGTAATTTTTTATATACTGGTAAAAACATGATAATATATATTTGAATTGTAATAATAAGAATTCCAAATTCTACCTCTCCTTATTCCACATGACCCTTGTAATAACTGCTTGGCTGGAGGCCTTGTAAATACTAGCTGTTATATACTGCTTGGCTGGAGGCCTTGTAAATACTAGCTGTAATAACTGCTTGGCTGGAGGCCTTGTAAATACTAGCTGTAATATACTGCTTGGCAGGAGGCCTTGTAAATACTAGCTGTTCTATACTGCTTGGCTGGAGACCTTGTAAATACTAGCTGTTCTATACTGTTTGGCTGGAGACCTTGTAAATACTAGCTATAATTTACTGCTTGACTGAAGAACTGCTTAGCTCGATTGGTTAAGCGAAAGATTAGTTAGCCACATGTTGCTGATATGATGCCCAGCACCCTTTCACAGGCATTGAAATAAATAAAAACCTTTGGTATAGTTGAAATATGTCAAAATGCAAACTTGATCATTGTAACTGAAACAGAATGACACCTGTAGATGGTTGATGTGTCATGAACTTATCTGTGTAAGGAAAGATATCGAGAATAAGATGATTATTATCATTGCTACAGGCATTGTCAACAAAGAAAGCTGATACTGTACATCTTAGGAGGATTGCAACAAGACATGGTATACGCAGGGGTGACGAGGAATTCAGCATCAAATCTGTGAAGATGTTGATGGAAATACTTATGGACAAGTACAATGAGAATTTCCAGAGTCCTCATCCAAGCAAAAGTCAGACAGATGGCAATATGCTTTGTGTATACCCCTACAAGGAAATTCTAATCTGGTCCATTCTCCTCCTTAAGTAAGATTTTACCTCGTTTAACCTGTCTAAACCATAGATAACAAGATATAATCTCAATAAATTATTGTGAGGTGATATATGTTGCTTGGACAATTTTTATCATAAATCTCATCTTTTTCCAAAACAATTGACAGAATGGAAGAAGTATTTGTTATTATATTCATTTAGCATGATATAAAAAGGATAGAGCAGCATTGGTGTGGACCAGTTTTCACTTTGTTTGAAAATAACTTTACATCATGTAGCAGCTAATATGGAATAACTCATCATATTTCTATAAGATTTTATTTCTAGGTTAAAAAATTGGGATTTTTTAAAGCAAGGACAGAACACCATTTTAATTTTTTATGAGTCACAATACTTAAAGATTAAATGGTGTCTCAAAGTTTGAATGAGTCTCATAGGAGAAAGCAGTAGTCCCAGAATCACTGCTTAATATTTCTGACATCTTTAATTACTGCCAGTATTATAAGTTATTACTGTAATAAGGGTAAACATGCTTCAGATAAATCCTGTAGTTTCTTTGGTGTTTATTACAGACAGAGGATGGCCAAATTTGCATGGGAAATGGGAGGAGAGCCGGTGACATCAGCTGTAGCAGCCTCTCGTATCTATGGCACTATGTCTACCTACATCAACCGGAATGAGCAGGCAATTAAAGACAGGATTCTAGCGTACAAGGAGTAAGTGGTTAGAGGTTGGAAAGTACAGTAATGGGGTTTAAGTGTGAGAAACAAGTCAGAATAAATGAAACAAGAACTGATTATCATTTCATTTCCAGCATTAAAGTGAAGGCATCATTTTGGCATTCCTGCTGTTGTTGGCATATAAAACCATAGGTGTTACCTGATGTAAAACTAATATACAATAGGTCTTGACTGATTTAGGAATGCAACAGTTTAGGGATCTCTATGTTTATTGAAAATAATTCAGTGTGGTTTTTGAAATTAAGATATTACTGAAAGTGGAATTCTTGGTTTTTGGTATTGAACATTAATTTTGAGATATAGTTTCTGAGTCAAAGCTGTTGTTTTCATGACACCTAATAATTGCTCAAATTTGATTTAAATTGGCCATACCTAATGACTGGTTATTTTTGTGCAGGAACACCATAGCTGTAGCAAAAATTTGATAATAAAATGATAAGACACATGTAGATATTATCTGCAATATAAACTGCATTTAAATCCTTTTGTCATATTGGTACTGTCACTTGCCAACTCAGCTGTGACCAAGAATTGAAGGGTATTTCAACTTTAACAATATTGTTTGGAACAGATGAAATTCTTTGATACAGATTATCAATTACAAAAGACAGTATTTGTATTCAGGAGTTACCAATATATAGCTATGGCATGGAAGGCATGGTCAGTTACTAATGTGTCTAATGGAACGTAAAGTACCACACAAATATTGCCATAGATATTTGGAAAACTGGACTTAAAGTCATTGTGTTGTGAATTTTGAAACCATTCTTATTAACATTATAGTTCATATTAAGCAATTATATTAATGATAATATGCATGTGTTTGAAATAACTGTGTTGTAACTTGACAGTGAGTTTGAGAAACTAGCAGTTGAAGTGTTGGACGAGTGCCATATAAAGGACCATGAGAAGGCTATGATGCTAGTGGAACGCTGCTCTCCAACCTGGAGTGATATGAGCAGTTTGGCGATGGCTGCTTCAGCTTATGATCGGGTCTGTATCAAAGATTTTGTATAGGAAATGGGGCACCTTACAGGGGGGGGTGGGGGGTGGGGGAGTGTGGACTAAGTAGGGGATGAGAAACCCTAAAGCAGTTAGAGGTTGTGGGTGGAAGGGGAAGAGTTAGGTCAGGATTGGAGATGAGGAAACATACAGTGGTCAGAGCTTTAAGGTGGGAGGGGGAGAGTTAGACATGTATAGAATATCAGACATCATACAGAGGACAGGAATCATGGATGGGAGGAATGTATAGGAGAGAAGTTATCTTCCAGGTATGGGGGTGGGTGTCCAGTTATTATACCTCCACGTAAGGCTGAGGGTGGGGTGGGGGTTATGTAATAATCACTTTGTGTGATAACATGGTATACAAGGTATCTCATGAATACCTGAACAGAATTGATTCATACACTTCAGCATCCTACCAACAAGGTCTACACCTGATTAAAGTTAGTTTGTCATTGGTTAAGGTTAAAGGTCTAAGGTCACCATTGACTATTAAGGAGTTGGGGGCGTGGTATCTATCTAATACATTGCTCACTTTGTTTACTGAAATGTGATGTTGGTTATAGTGTGTAATGTATCTGAATTCTTATTGTTTTAGGCATACTTGGCATCGGTAGCATGTCAGAACTCTATAAGTATCACATGGAAACGAGGCATCGTATCACCCTGGACACGGGTAAGACACTTTGTATATAGAATTATAGAAAAACATTACAAACCTGAATACTAATACTATATTTACTTTGACATTTATACATGTTGATAGATAAAGATATATGTTTTTGCTTGATACCATGTGATTAGTTCTATGGAACATTGTATTTAAATTTTAAACTTAGGGCAATTGATGCAAAATGTTACAGTTTCTGAATTTTACAGTATTTATAATTATACCACATGAACATATATATGTTTAATATTTTGAATTTTTTAAATGTTGAATACTAATATATATTACCTAGTGTGACATTTTTTTATACACTACTTCCAGGGTTTTATGTCTAGTGTGCTGTGTATAAATTTCTATCCTTCATTGGACCATAGATCTGATCATCATATTGTTTTTCTATGTGTGTGTGTGTCCAATTCATCATATCCTTTTAGGTCCTACTGTGTCAACCAGAATTTGGGTGTCATCGGGATGTGTTAGGGTTCTGTAAAGGTCACAATATTTGAAGCATTCATTATTTATCAAAACAAATCACAAAAAAGATCCTGTTTGGCTGGTTATTTTCATGACACAAACTTTCTAAAACATACGCCTTTACAATATAAAAATTTTGCAGAGGCAATTTAGCATGCCATTTAATGGTGATCCTCTGGCTGTTGATCTCAGATGCATAAGTCTAAAGTTCTGTATACCAATTGTTTCAGGTTTATAAATGACACTTGATAGTAATTATCATATTTTGGTTCCTGGATCACGGTGACCTCTGATCCTGGTCTCTAAAGCACTAAAATCAATTTTGTTATGATTTGTATATGTATGTACGCTGTGTAAAAGATTGTACTAAAGACACACAAGGGATTAACATCTTTCAATATAGATTTAGGTACAGTTGACCAAGTAATAAATTAAACTGCTAGTCCTTCTAGGACTTGTCAGTGATGCTTAAGGTCTAAATAAGGAACAAGTTTTATCAATGTATATCAATCATATTTATGGATCAACTTATGTCTTGTTTACAGGCAGCTATCTCTTCACTGAATTGTAATCAAACCAACTTTACTTTTCCTACCATTTAATCACTTTTCACATTCCTTCATATTCCAGAGGTTACACTCACTATCACTCCCTGCACTCCTGGAACATTTCGTGGCAAAATTAAAGGCACAAGCAAAGTAATTTGATTGGTCTAGAGCTGGTTTCAGGAGAAAAAACTGACCAATCACAGATTGAAATGCTCCTTTGAAGATCACAAAAGAGTGAAACCCAACTTTAAATTCAAAATATGGCTAAGCTATCATGAGGTTCATTTGTTGTACCTCAAAGGATCAAACTAGTCTTCTCATCTTAAACACAAGATGTTGTACATGGAACCTTCAAATTTGCCATATAATGTTCCAGGGGTGCAGAGAGTGAAAGTGATCAGAACTCCTGGAATATTGAGGATGGTATATGCATAACAACAAAGTGTCCAATATAATAAAAGTGTGACTAAAAGGATATGTTGATTGAATTACCATCCAGTGACTGTTAAACCTCTGTATAAAACACTTCAGCACAGTTCACTTCACCATTATGGTGAAATGAAATCCCCCATGGTAAGGTGAAGTCACTTTATGTTTTGTTTACAATTAATGCCTCTTCACTTAATTTTTTTATCACTTTCCTGAATTATGTTCCTCCGTACATTAAAAAAAAAACAAAAAATAAAAACAATAAGGATGGGAATATTTAGGTTGGGTCAAGGAGGTTCACCATGGTCATGGCAAATTTCTGACTAATTAACCTTTTTTCACCAATTATATTTCTGATCATCCCAATTCATTTGTTTAAACACATCAATAACAAGGCTGGGACAATGGGTTCATTTAACCATGGCCATAAACTGATTAAAAGGCTGGGACAATGGGTTCATTTAACCATGGCCGTAAACTGATTAAAAGGGTGGGACAATGGGTTCATTTAACCATGGCCGTAAACTGATTAAAAGGCTGGGACAATGGGTTCATTTAACCATGGCCATAAACTGATTAAAAGGCTGGGACAATGGGTTCATTTAACCATGGCCATAAACTGATTAAAAGGGTGGGACAATGGGTTCATTTAACCATGGCCATAAACTGATTAAAAGGGTGGGACAATGGGTTCATTTAACCATGGCCGTAAACTGATTAAAAGGGTGGGACAATGGGTTCATTTAACCATGGCCATAAACTGATTAAAAGGGTGGGACAATGGGTTCATTTAACCATGGCCGTAAACTGATTAAAAGGGTTCATTTAACCATGGCCATAAACTGATTAAAAGGGTGGGACAATGGGTTCATTTAACCATGGCCATAAACTGATTAAAAGGGTAGGACAATGGGTTCATTTAACCATGGCCATAAACTGATTAAAAGGGTAGGACAATGGGTTCATTTAACCATGGCCATAAACTGATTAAAAGGGTAGGACAATGGGTTCATTTAACCATGGCCATAAACTGATTAAAAGGGTGGGACAATGGGTTCATTTAACCATGGCCGTAAACTGATTAAAAGGGTGGGACAATGGGTTCATTTAACCATGGCCATAAACTGATTAAAAGGGTGGGACAATGGGTTCATTTAACCATGGCCTAAACTGATTAAAAGGGTGGGACAATGGGTTCATTTAACCATGGCCATAAACTGATTAAAAGGGTGGGACAATGGGTTCATTTAACCATGGCCATAAACTGATTAAAAGGGTGGGACAATGGGTTCATTTAACCATGGCCTAAACTGATTAAAAGGGTGGGACAATGGGTTCATTTAACCATGGCCTAAACTGATTAAAAGGGTGGGACAATGGGTTCATTTAACCATGGCCTAAACTGATTAAAAGGGTAGGACAATGGGTTCATTTAACCATGGCCATAAACTGATTAAAAGGGTGGGACAATGGGTTCATTTAACCATGGCCATAAACTGATTAAAAGGGTGGGACAATGGGTTCATTTAACCATGGCCTAAACTGATTAAAAGGGTGGGACAATGGGTTCATTTAACCATGGCCGTAAACTGATTAAAAGGGTGGGACAATGGGTTCATTTAACCATGGCCTAAACTGATTAAAAGGGTGGGACAATGGGTTCATTTAACCATGGCCTAAACTGATTAAAAGGGTGGGACAATGGGTTCATTTAACCATGGCCATAAACTGATTAAAAGGGTGGGACAATGGGTTCATTTAACCATGGCCATAAACTGATTAAAAGGGTGGGACAATGGGTTCATTTAACCATGGCCATAAACTGATTCATTGTTTCTTTCTCCCAAAAACTTTCTAAAAATCTCTTAGATTCTTTGCATGATTACATGATAAAAAGATACATGTACTTGTCTTTGAACTCTAGAAATATGGCATGGTTTAAGTCCATTTATTTTGCATAAGAATGTTAAAGTTGATCAAGGCTACTTATTACAGTGCCATATTGCATCCATATACTGACATATATGACAGAAAATTTGAAGTTTGGAATCATGTTTTATGTTTTATACATTGATATATCAGCAAGTCCCTGTTAAATATAAGTCAGAATGATTTCATTTTAAAAGTTTTCTAAAATAGAAAATATCATTCTTATCTATCCCATTGTGATATATACAGTTACTATGTGTAGACAAGTGGATTTAGATCTGTTTGGGACTACACATATTAATAAAGATATAGAAATCTGATGTCTGATGTTTATTGTGTTGTTCTGACTGTTGTGTTGTCTTGAGACTTGTAGCATGTGTTTTATTGCTTTACTAACTGTTTTTGTCAGGTTGTTCCTGTGGTGTTATTTCCACTTCTATTGTTGTTTCCTCGTATCTTGGAAATCCATCTGCTCGGAGAAGAAACTCTGACTTGCTTACACAGAGTGACAACCTTCTTCACAGCACCAATTACTAAATTTGCATATTTTTCGGTGAGTACTTGTTATAAACATTTGAATTTTTCATCCGTTTAGTCATGCAAAAAATTTGATATCATTTCCCTAGGTGCTTGTGTGTATGTTTGTGCCATTCGCGCTGATGTCCCGTTATTTGGAGATGAGTTTCATGGGAGAAGAAGGCTTCAACCTTAGACAGAAGATCACAACATTTTATACTGCACCTATTACAAAGTTTGCCAATCACACGGTAGGTCAAGACACGGGTGCTCTTTGGTGTCTTTGGACTGTTTCGTGGGCTATGGACTCTTTTGTGGCACAGCTGTTTTAAAAACTTGTACTATTTAAAACAGCCATTACTATTAATATTTTCATTAATAGATGTAGTGTGTAGTATTTTCACTTTTTTTGTTGAATCATACTGATATGATTTACTAACATCCATTTACGTGATGTTATACTACAGTATGTTGTACATGTATACAGCACAACTAATTAAAGTTAATAAGAAGAACTTTGTCAGTTTTTACTTCATGTTTTGCCAAAATATAAGGAATGTTCAAGTAACAAGAGTTTTCCCTATTTAGTCAAAATATGACCTATAAAAATAAAAGTTTTGCAAAATTCCCAGTATAAACTGAAAAATTTTAAATTCAAATTCTATACAAACATCTGCCTCTAAAAAGAAAAATTCTGCAAAATTGTCAGACGTAAACTCACAAGGTTTTAAACTGAATCTCTGTACAGATGATTTTCATCTGCGGTTTCAAGTTAGGATTGACTGTTGTATGTTCATGAAAGTTCTACTTAATCTTAGAAATGATGATGCATGTCCACAGTTTTTACTAATTTGGATAATTATATTGTGTAGAGTGTTGTGGAGAGTTTAGATTTCATCCTTCATTCTCTATTAGTTTATCACTTAACTGTCCTATTCTGCCATGCATTGTAGCGTTCATGTCATAGACATCACCAATATTGTACTATGGTTTGTCTTGTGATCAGGCTCTAATCATACGCTATATGAATGTAATTACAACAATGCAGTAATTTGATTCAGTATTTGCTTCGCAGCACATTTTATGTCAAATCATTTAATTCGTTTTACATATTCAGTATGATGTAGCCATGTACACAGAAAAGGAATGGCTTCTAGGATTCTTCTATATATGTCTGTTATAGCCTTATATTACCATAAACAATTATCATAAATGTATTGATTAAGTGTTCACAACTTAACACATACCTGGGTTTGGATTTTATACTTCACTTTTATATTTAGCCTTCGTAACCACACTTATCTTTTATATTACTGATCGGGAAATTAGTCTTACTTATCAATGATAAATCTTCATATCTTACTTTTATAAGAAGTCATTTGATTTACTGTTCTCTAGCAATGATTTAAAATGTTGTAAGAAATTTTTATTTTGCATGATTCACAGCAAATATTTTGATCAAGTCCGATTCTTCTCTGAAGAGACCTAAATCTTCCTTTTTTTTTTTGGTTGATCATTTCATATTTTTATTCCTTAAGGGCTTTTATAATTTCCACATAATTTCCAAGAAATTTTGAAAGAGGGTAAGCTTGTTATAGAACTGCTTGTGATGGCTTGTAAAGTCTTGTTACATACAGGCTTTTTGCAGAGCATGCATTGATGAATAAGTTGATAATTGGTCAGATTATTAATGATACTTTCTTTTTAATTTTAGCTGATGTACATGGCATTCCTGATCCTGTTCACTTACATGTTACTGGTGGACTTTGACGCTCATCGTGTCACGCCAATAGAGTGTATCTGTATCGCCTGGATCTTCGCCTTTATGGTTGACGACATCTACACCGTAAGTAATCTCATTAACACCGTGTGACTGATATGCAGTATGTAATTTTCTTTGTATTACATAATTAATCCACTTCCAAGGCAGCGTTGATTAGTCTCTTTTTTATGTGCAATGGGAAACCGTTAAACATTTCTACCTCCAGATTTCATTTTATGTCTGTTTGTATGAGTGTTACTTATTCTGACGTTGGGTCACATGTCCTGACAGATAGATATATACAGTTATTTTCTTGTTTTTGATGACATACGTTTTAGTTTGTTAGGAACTGTGTACTTCTTCCAATAAACATCCTTGATTCTTTTTTAGTTATTGACGTTCCCGTCCCCCACATTTTATGGGAAGTTACGTGACTGGTATGGATTTCTGAAATGGCTAGATCTTATCAACTTTATACTGGCTTTTATTGCCTTCATCATTCATTTCTGGGAAGAATGGTTTGAGGTGACCAAAATCATGTACTGTATCAACGGGGTCATCTTGTATATCAGAATCCTGAAGACCTACACAGCCAACGCAAATCTGGGGCCGAAGATGGTGATGATCCAACGTATGGTAAGTGGTGTGTTCACCAGAGATCAAGGGAATGGTTATTAAGACATGATGCAGTCATGCACTATATATATCTCAGGGTAGCAGACCTCCCTTGTCACCAGTTATTCAGATTGTTCCAGAATTTAACATATACAAAGATCAAGTAGGAGAGTTCCTCAGAGAAAGGTCATATTTCAGAGGTCAAATGTTAACGTTACCTTCATTAATTGGCATTGGTTGATCAGTGCAGTAACATCACTCTAATTTTTATTTAGTCTTCATTCAGAAATCGGGTATGAACCATATGGTACCTCAGATGTGTTGTATAGTAAGTATTGTGTGTACGCATATGTTCTGCCCTCAATCAATGCTTCTGTCGTCAGATTATTTACAAGATATTTCCTGAATCCCTCAATAGATTTTTGTCCATACTCAGACTCTGATATCAAGACATAAAGTTCTACACCAGATTAGAACCAGGGGATTGGAGGGTTTGTGAGTCAAAGTTTTATTCATTTGATTTTGCGTGCTTTTCTTTCTGCATTTTCAATTGGATTTTGTTTTTGACTTTAGATGGCAGAGTTGAAAATGTTTGTGATGGTGCTGTTGGTATTTCTGCTGGCGTATGGCATTTCTAGCCAGGCCCTACTTTATAAACAGAGGCGACCAAGCTGGAATATCCTGAAAGATGTATTTTACTTCCCGTACTGGCAGCTGTTCGGTGAAATCTATCTGGATGACCTTAACAGTAAGACAAACTTGTAAACCTCACTAATTTCTTATCTTTACAGTAAATTTTTATAGCTTCTGTTTACATCGTCTGCTTTTCTAAAAATGGAGATTTTCCTTCGCCATGTAAATAGTATATTTTATTCTATGTATTAAAATGCAAATCTAGTTTTATGTCTCCTCCAAAGAGAGGTAGGGACACATAATGTTACCAAAGTCTGTTCCATCACATCCCTCAGAATCTGTCCTGAGTCAGTTATAACAACCTTGGATGACATAGGATTTCAGAATTCTAAGTCAAAGGTCAAAGTCACTGTTACTATTTTTAGATATTTGTCATTCAATAAAACTAATTAGCATGGGAACAGAGATATTCATGTCACACAGACTGTTTCTAGTTGTTACATGCCTATGTAATATACGAATGTGTTTCACCTTGTTTCACAGCTGACACAGATTGTATGGAGGCCGCAAGTCTTATCAACGATACAGCACGGGCTGCTACAGAAAAGCTGTACTGTTTACAGAATCACTGGCTTGTTTACTTCCTCCTGGCTGCTTACCTTATGGTGGGAAATGTTCTCCTCCTCAACCTCCTCATTGCCATCTTCAGGTAATGATTATGACTACATCATTTAAACAAATTCTTGACCCTGTTTTTATGGTTCATTATGTTTAAAACTCTTGCCCATGATGTTGAATGTTATATAAAGAGAAACGCTGTGATCCATCTTTCACCAGGAAGTCAACATTAAGCCTATACAGGGTTTGTAGATAGCTGATTACAAGGCAATCACATAGCATTTGTTGGTGTTACTGATTATTACTATAATAGATATTGGTGGGTATTACTATAATAGATATCAGTGGGTATTACTATAATAGATATTGGTGTGTATTACTATAATAGATATTGGTGTGTATAACTATAATAGATATTGGTGGGTATTACTATAATAGATATCAGTGGGTATTACTATAATAAATATTGGTGTATATTACTATAATAGATATTGGTGTGTATTACTATAATAGATATTGGTGGGTATTACTATAATAGATATTGGTGGGTATTACTATAGATATAGATGATTGGTGGGTATTACTATAATAAATATTGGTGTGTATTACTATAATAGATATTGGTGTGTATTACTATAATAGATATTGGTGGGTATTACTATAATAAATATTGGTGTATATTACTATAATAGATATTGGTGGGTATTACTATAATAGATATTGGTGTGTATTACTATAATAGATATTGGTGGGTATTACTATAATAGATATTGGTGTGTATTACTATAATAGATATTGGTGGGTATTACTATAATATAATAGATATTTGGGTATTACTATAATAGATATTGGTGGGTATTACTATAATAGATATCAGTGGGTATTACTATAATAGATATTGGTGGGTATTACTATAATAGATATTGGTGTGTATTACTATAATAGATATTGGTGGGTATTACTATAGATATTGGTGTGTATTACTGTAATATAATAGATATTGGTGGGTATTACTATAATAGATATTGGTGGGTATTACTATAATAGATATTGGTGGGTATTACTATAGATATTGATGGGTATTACTATAATAGATATTGGTGGGTATTACTATAATAGATATTGGTGGGTATTACTATAATAGATATTGGTGGGTATTACTATAGATAGATATTGGTGTGTATTACTATAGATAGATATTGGTGGGTATTACTATAATAGATATTGGTGGGTATAGATATTGGTGGGTATTACTATAATAGATAGATATAGATATTGGTGGGTATTACTATAATAGATATTGGTGGGTATTACTATAATAGATATTGGTGGGTATTACTATAATAGATATTGGTGGGTATTACTATAATAGATATTGGTGGGTATTACTATAATAGATATTGGTGGGTATTACTATAATAGATATTGGTGGGTATTACTATAATAGATATTGGTGGGTATTACTATAATAGATATTGGTGGGTATTACTATAATAGATATTGATGGGTATTACTATAATAGATATTGGTGGGTATTACTATAATAGATATTGGTGGGTATTACTATAATAGATATTGGTGGGTATTACTATAATAGATATTGGTGGGTATTACTATAATAGATATTGGTGGGTATTACTATAATAGATATTGGTGGGTATTACTATAATAGATATTGGTGGGTATTACTATAATAGATATTGGTGGGTATTACTATAATAGATATTGGTGGGTATTACTATAATAGATATTGGTGGGTATTACTATAATAGATATTGGTGGGTATTACTATAATAGATATTGGTGGGTATTACTATAATAGATATTGGTGGGTATTACTATAATAGATATTGGTGGGTATTACTATAATAGATATTGGTGGGTATTACTATAATAGATATTGGTGGGTATTACTATAATAGATATTGGTGGGTATTACTATAATAGATATTGGTGGGTATTACTATAATAGATATTGGTGGGTTTGTTGCCAGTCATGAGTTTTTTTGTGGATAACAGATGTAATATCTTCCTTATCTTCTGATGTGCGGATCCCAATATAGAAAACAATCTGCAATACACATGTTCACAGTATATTTAATAGTTAGATTTTACTATAATTACTTACATAGTCTGATAAATGTTATTGTTACTGCTACACATGATAGATATAGCAATAAAGTCCTTGATTATCAATCTTCCTTTTTTTTTTATTTCAGTCATGTGTTTGACACTATTGAGGAGAACTCTATTGAGATTTGGAAGTATCAGATGTATTTCCTGACAATGGAGTTTGATAACAAGACAGCCTTTGTGCCACCCTTCAGTATCTTTGCCCATGTCTATCTCATTTTTAAGTGGCTATTCCGGAAAACCTGTTGCCGCAAGGGCACAAAAGGTAGGAGATACATACTGGAGCAAAAATAACTGGTGTAAAATGTTAGCAGGGGAGGTGTTATCAAGTGGGACATTCATAGGTGTTATAGATATGGAAAACTACAGGTGTTATCATTTGGGGTATTCATTTTGTGTTATAGTTAGGGGAAATAACAGGTAATATCTATTTGGGTGTTCATAGGTGTTATAGTGAGGGAACAGGGATTGGATTTTCATACAGTACACATGTGGTACAGTTTAGGTACAAAAATAGTTGTTATCAATTGGGATCTATATTTCAAATTCAGTTCTCATAAATGTTATGGTTAGGAAACATAGATAGGTGTTAAAACTCAAGGACATGTGTTATCATCTGAAACATTCATTGGTGTTACATTACAGGCACAAAATTAGGAATTATTTGGGACACTTGTAAGTCTTATAGTTATCTATTACCCAATGTGTAGTCTTTGTCCAAGGTCAATATCATGGAGCAGGGAGTTTTGAAATGTTTGTTTGGGAACATATACCACTCTCAAACATATGATACTTGTTGTTTTTATTTTGTTTTCTGTGTAAATGCAGTCTGGGAAAAGGCTATTAGCTGTATGATTATATTAAATCCTTAAATGAAATGTTCAGTCCTTAACCTCATAAAAACTGTTGTTATCTGAGCTAAAAAATATATACAATAAAAGTAAACAAATCTTTCAGTAGATTTAGCTACAAGAACTTAATTGAATTGTTTTCAGGTGTACAGTTCTCAAAGCGCCACTTGGAGTATCTTCAGTTGTTTGAGAAAGAGGAAATGACTAATTTGCTACGCAGCAAGAAGGCCAGAGATAAGGAGACTATTGAAACTAAGATCAGTCTCCTCCAAAAAAGGTTTGTTATGTCGTAACTTTCAACACAACATCATACATAGATAAGCCTACCAATAGATAAGAGTGAACTTATTGAGCAATGATAGTAAGCTCATACTATAGAAGTTAAATTATACCATGCTTACCACAGGAACATGTGTTAAATTATACCATGTTTACCACAGGGACCTGTGTTAAATTACAACCTGTTTACCACAGGGACCTGTGTTAAATTACAACCTGTTTACCACAGGGACCTATGTTAAGTTATGCCATGTTTACCACAGGGACCTGTGTTAAATTATACCCTGTTTACCACAGGGACCTGTGTTAAATTATACCATGTTTACCACAGGAACATGTGTTAAATTATAACATGTTTACCACAGGGACCTGTGTTAAATTATACCCTGTTTACCACAGGGACCTGTGTAAAATTATAACCTGTTTACCACAGGGACCTGAGTTAAATTATTCCCTATTTACCACAGGTACCTGTGTTAAATTATAACATGTTTACCACAGGTCCCTGTGTTAAATTATAGCATGTTTACCACAGGGACCTGTGTTAAGTTATGCCATGTTTACCACAGGGACCTGTGTTAAATTATAACATGTTTACCACAGGTCCCTGTGTTAAATTATAGCATGTTTACCAGAGGGACCTGTGTTAAATTATACCCTATTTACCACAGGGACCTGTGTTAAATCATAAAATGTTTACCACAGGGACCTGTGTTAAATTATTCCCTGTTTACCACAGGGACCTGTGTTAGATAATAACATGTTTACCACAGGGACCTGTGTTAAATTATTCCCTGTTTACCACAGGGACCTGTGTTAAATTATACCATGTTTACCACAGGAAACTGTGGTAAGTTATGTCATGTTTACCACAGGGACCTGTGTTAAATTATACCCTGTTTACCATAGGGACCGGTGTTAAATTATAATCTGTTTACCACAGGGACCTGTGTTAAATTATGCCCTATTTACCATAGGGACCTGTGTTAAATTATTCTCTGTTTACCACAGGGACCTGTGTTAAATTATAACATGTTTACCACAGGGACCTGTGTTAAATTATTCCCTGTTTACCACAGGGACCTGTGTTAAATTATGCCATGTTTACCACAGGAAACTGTGTTAAGTTATGTCATGTTTACCACTGGGACCTGTGTTAAATTATACCCTATTTACCACAGGGACCTGTGTTAAATTATGCCATGTTTACCACAGGGACCTGTGTTAAATTATGCCATGTTTACCATAGGGACCTGTGTTAAAATTCTGTTTATTGTTATTTATAAGTGATTTGATATACATAGAATGTCAAGTTTTTAGAAATTTCTTTGTCACTTTGATTTAATGTTAGTGTGTTTATATTGTACAGAAATGAGGAGTTGTTCAAAGTTCTGGAGGAGGATTTCTTTCCGGAGCTTGGAGGAGTGGAGGACCATCATCGACACTTTCTGGAAACAACTTTTGTGAATCCAGTTGAGGTTCAGAAGGAGCCAGAGTTAATCAAAGAAGATGAAAAGGAAACTCTTCTTCCTTCTAAGGTAACCTATGTGAATATTTGAAAGATTATTAATAAAATTTGATTATAAGGAATTACTCAATAATGTTTACTGCCAACACTTTCTTCATTCAAAACAATATTTTTTTCACTTTGGAGTTGGTTTTCATTTGAAAACAAGTACACGAGATTAATGAAGTATTCAGATAAAATAGGAAATACAGTGTTGTAATTTGGTGATTGATTGGTGACAATGAGTTCAATTATCAATTAACAATGTTTATGAAATGTTTATCTAGGTTTACATTTGGCAAGTTAATGTAAAGCTGTCATGATTGTATACAAATACATGATTTATATAATGTTTTGGTATAAGACTTCAACGTTGTCAGTAACAAGTGTGATTGCTGTGCTATTTCCACAGGAGGAGGAGGAAGATGAAGAATCGAAAAAGAAAAAGAAGAAAAAATTAAAGAAGGAAAAGAAAGAAAAGAAAAAGAGAGAAAAAGAAGAAAAACTTAAACTCAATAACTTTGACAATCCTGCATTTAAACACGATATAGTAACTGACAAAACACTACAATTTTCACCTCACCCTGAGATAATCTCTCAACCACAAATTTCTCCTGTGAGGACAAACACACTGATGCCAGAAATTACTCCACAGCGTCCCACACTCTACCGCCGTATCTCAAATAGGTCATACAATAGAGAAATTGAGGCCATTGATTCTTCTGATGAAGATTTAATGCATACCAGTGGCCATTTTGGAAGGGGATTGCGGAAGGCTTTGAATGTACCATCACCAGGGGGACATTTGTCACTGAGACGATCTGTATCAAGAGAATCATCAGATTCTGAGGAGAATAACATGAGAGCTGCATCCCCTCGGCTGTTCACACGCATGGCTAGAGAAAGCAGTACCGAGGATGAGAGGAGAAAGGAGAAAAAGAAGAGGAAGAAGCTTCGAAAAAAAATGATTTCCGATACTGAATGATTCTTGTCCTTTGAATGTGTTGTATTACATCTGTGATTTTGATAGAAACTCCTGACAAGACACTGTGATAATTCTTTATGTTATACACGATATATAAAATTTAGTTTGTGAAAATGTCATACTTAAATGTCATACCTCATGTAAATGTCATATTTTGTGTAAATGTCATACTTTATGTAAATATTATACTTTGTGTTTGGTTTGTGTCATGGTATTACATTCTTTTTAACTTCTGTCATACTTTTTTGTGCATGTAATAATTATACATTCTTTGTCTCAAGTGCTGATCTAGATAATAGAATACATACTCTGCTAATAAAAGGGTTATATCTGATGAATGATGTGATACTATGAGAGACAATTTTCTGCTATTTATAATTTATTTTTATTCTATGTCATGATTTACAGTGTTGTTATAGATCACAAATTCAAGAGACTTTGTTGTACTAGACATGAACAAAACTTGTAATGATAAGCATATGTCTGTATATTTAACCAATTTTCAAACATAGTGATTTATTGCGAGAGATAATGAAGACATGCTGGACATGTTTTATTTATATGATATTTATATAATGTAACAATTCCACTGATCTTTATACTTTTTCTGCTAATTTGTTTTATGCTTAAACTTTAGAATCATTCCGTTCCTGTTAATATGGGAATCCTGGCATCCATTTCTATTTTGTGGTATATTATAGTTGAGATAAGAAAAAACATAATTTTAAGTTATTTTTCTTTGATCTGGCCATTCAATGCATGTAGTTGATATTAAATATTTGATGAACTTTTAATAAGTACTTTGTGGTATGAAACTCCTGATGATATCACATATTCTTTAATTTTGTCTGACTCTTTCTTAAGGGATTAAATTTAAGTATTTTAGATATTTTGCATTTTTTTACATCTAAAAATGTAAAAGAAAGTTTTTATTTAAGGTTGAAAAGGGTATTTTAACGCCTGTATTTCGTGAAGTACTTGTATGTGATATTGTAGACCCAGTACAGAAAATCTACTTTGAAAAATATAAGTAAGAATTTCCAGTGCCAGTGTAGACTCAATTTGGTTTTTGATACAGAAGTTTTTTATCTGTCTGTTGTTGTATTGGTAATATTACTTAATTTCTGGTATTTTACTTTGATAAAGTGATAAACTTTTAAATACCTCATTATCAAAATCAGACTTGATTTACTGTGTCTTTTACAAAATATATAGCGGTATTTTAGTCTGGTCAATTCCAAAATTTAATTTTCATATTTAATTTATATAGATAAAGCTCTAACCAGATATATGTGGATAATTTTGGGCAGTTTTACCCAAATTGAATAAAATCATTTGTGAAATATAACATTATGTAAATTTCAAGACAAAATATGTATATTTGTCAGAATATAAATGTGATTGCATTTCTAGATATATGTGATAGCTTATAACTTAACATTTCTGAACATATGTATATTATGTATTGATAGATAAATATAAATGAATATTTAATATTTATCTATAAAAATAAACTCTTGTAGAGGAAGCATAGTATATTTTTCAAAAATGTCATTCAAGATCACAACTGCCCACCTGTCTATTGTCTGGACTATCCTTTGTCCTACCTGAATATTTTTGAAATCTCTAATTTCTTAGTCAGAACTGTAAAAGTTTTGCACTATGATCAATTTATACATATTAATGTATAGCCATTGATTTTTTTGTGGCTATAATTCAGTAATATAACTCATTTACACTTTGAAATCTTTACACTTTTCTGTTTTAATGCCAGTTTGCTATACATGTAGTTTGATGTGTTAAGATACAAAATGTACTTTTTTAACAGAGAGTTTGTCATTGCCCCTCATACTGATCTTAATCCGGTGTATTTTGTCATCTGTATAAACATTTTTGATTCAGGAAAAATGGTGGTTATGTAGATGTACAGTTTGTACTGTGAAACATGTACCATATTATAACAAATGTTGTAAAATCATCCTATGCTGATTCCAGCTACTGCTGTTTGTATCGTTTACAGTGTAATCATATACGCCATGATATTGTTGAACATATTGTACATCGACATACTTATAATCGTGTAGGATTCCGTCCATTTCTTAGATATATAGATACAATATTGATTGTATAACAGATATGTTAACTTCTAGTCAATCTCAGATTTTGGTTGTCTCTGCTATTCTGTCCTCAGATAATGAATTTTAAGTAAATTGTCTTGTTAACTATATTTATACTGCTGAACTGACACTGTTTAACTTGTTGATGTGTGATGTTGCTAGGTTAAAGAAATAAGTTGTGCAATGCTACAGATCACCAAAAGAATTTCAAATTATGGACAAAGGTATTTCCATGTACATATCATATTATCATGGCAGGAATTTCATGCAGTTTGAAATGTCATTTTTTAACTTTTAAGTTAAGATACTAATTTCGAATATTCCACTTGTTACAATTTCACACAAGATACATTAATTGAATGATAGGAAAATTATAATTGAATTTGTTCATTTAACAACAATATTAGCATTTCTAATATAAAGATTGAAACAAAATTGTAAGCATAATTAATACAATCACTGATTAATTTCTGTTATATATGCCTTCCAAGGCTTGCTCCAACTAAATGATTCATATTATGATCTCTCTATTCTCTATATTACATCATGTAGTATTGTAAGTAGACAAACTGATATATGTCCTGTAGATAATATTTAAACATGACAATGAAATCTATGTTGTTGATACCACAAAATCTATTGCTGGGATTGTTTTTTTTTTTTTTTTTTGGTCTTTGGTGGTATAAATTCATCAAATTATGAACCACACTATACAGTGTCAAGTGATTGTTCCTGTGTTTGAACTGGATGTTTTGATATTTAAATATTAACACTGATTGTTTATGAAATCATAAACAAAGATTAAACATCTTCCTCTTTTGTGAGGAACGATTCATTATTGTTCATTTTGGAAGAGTTAAATGACTTGAAGTGTAAGGTTCACATAGGAATGTACAATCTAGATCAGGGTAAAAACGAGAAGTTCAATATTTCTTTTTATTCATAAATTTATTTAAAAGTCACATGTATGTAACCCAAGGTGGCAAATAAGTGTTTGGGTTACAAAATCAATCTGAAGAAAGGTAAAAAGTAAATAAACTAACTGCCTCAGAACGAGATGGAGTTAATAATCTAAACTAGTGTTAAAACATTATCTCCTTGTCTTGATGTACTCAAATAATATTTACATTGTATATGTGTTCTATTTCATACAGAACATTGTAATCTGGAAATAGTAACTCCCTTAATACCCAATTCATGTATATGATAATGCATTTAGAACTATCAAAATGATACTACTTAAACAAAGTTGAAGTCTTTAAAGAATAGAATATATTTACTTACTTACACAGTATGTAGGTTCTAGGAACACATACAAAATATACATCAGATGCTGATTGATTGTAATGTGTTGGAACTTTTACCTGTGATATAAGTGACCAGGTACAGTGTACTTTATGCAGTTATCCCTAGTATTTGTTAATGATTGTAGTAAGTGTAATACATATGTGTACCAGAAATTATTATCTAAGCAAATTACTCAAATATAATAATAGTATAGAATTATTACTTGGACGAACAGGTAATGCTTAAGTATGCATTTACTTCATCCAGTGAGTATTGAGACCTACAGACTGGTGACAAAGGAAGTGACAAACAGGAACATATAGATATACACTCTGTGCCTCCCTGATATCTTGGCCTCCTCTGTCAATCCACACCAAAATCGTCTTACAACCGATTGACAAGCAAGGTCTGTTCCTCTGGATTTACTGGTACACTATACAGATGCAGATGAAGGAGGAGTGTGACTGTCAGTTGAATGTGTGTAGTGATAGCATGCCGTTAATTACCTGTGATAATTAGCTAGTTCTGTAAAAGGTTCAGATTTTGTTAATGTAGGGACATGGGCCTTCTGTAGTTAAATATGAATAATTCTGCATGTTGTGATTTTTTGATAAGTTTTGTGAATGGAACAGAATGTGTGTGTGCAGTATACATAAACACAAGCACAATTGTATAGCTATACATGTTATTATCTATTTTTATGTAACAAAATAATTGTGATATGAATTCCAGAATTTGACATAAATCATTGATATTTTTTGGTTCTTTCTACAGTTTAATTTATGTTTTTCTAGCCTCTTTTTGTAGCTGTTTTTGTTTAACATTATTTCATCACTTAAAATAAAATAGATGAATGATATACTAATCTGGTATGTTGTTGGGCGTTTTCTTTACAAGAAGAGGTTATATAAGTGTTTTATTTAATATATTGTCATATTCTGGATAACCGAAATATTCAGTAATATAATGAACATTATTTGGTAATAAATTTGAGGTGGTCACCATATGTGGCATCATTATGGCGTCACCCACAAAATTATGTACGTCACTGCATATGATATCAGCTCTGGTCACTTTCTTTGAAATCTGGAACTCACCAAGTAATCAAAGATGTCAACCCAATGAAAATTTCTTATCTGACTGAAATATGGAAATCCAAGCATGTGATAAAATTTCCTCTTTCTGTTAGAAAATCTTGGTTTAAGTCTGGTCTCGAGAAACATATAGATATATAATCTTAATTAGCAGTAAAGACTATTTGTTATTATAATATTGATGCTGTGGTGTTTAGTGTGGAGCCTGAGGTAATCACTGGTGTTATGCTTGAGGAAACTATTGCCATACAAAGCAGAGGAAACCTGTAAAGTTAAGGTGGTAGATCTTCATTTGAAGAGAAAAATATTGTTTTGTATTTTGTATTAACCACTGGAAAAAAATATAGCCTGCTGTGAGGTTTGAGCTTATTCATGATGGAATTCTAATGTTATAGTGAATTTTTCTATCAACTGCCACACAAAAGGCATTGGATAACTCATCATCATTTCCTTAAGAGGTACCTATAGGTGGTGTTATGTACAATTCATATGTTATTAGATTTTTCTCTTGAGAATGTCATTTAGATATTGCGTTGGGCAATTTATAGTTAAAAAATTTCATAGA